TTTATCCAACTCATTTCTAAAATAACGATGACCACGATAAATTTATGTAGATGTTGATGCTTACACATGCTATATGAAAAAAAAGTAAATAATAATGTGAGGGAACATAACGTTACCCAAAATCAACAAATATTTAATCCCGATTTAACTAAAACAATTAGCATTTTTTGACAGAAAAAATCTATAAATATAAACACAACGTAATATTAGTAGGTATGCTAGAATAAAAAGTATATACAGCTATATTTGGTAAAAAAAGAGTTCTAATATAAATAATGGCCAACGGTTATGCACAAAACTTAGTCGAAGTCCTAAGACCACGATAAACAGAATTGAAAGTGAAAAATTATACAATAATTACTACTCATATAGCCACCAACCTAAAGGACACTACAAACTGAGCCACGCCAAACGAATAATACTAAAAACTCAGTCAATTTCTAAAAATATTAACTCCTTTTCCAATTTCTTATGTAAAATATGCACCAACTGCAAAATAAACATGAGCAAATTTAGGAAAGAAAGCTTAACTGATAAAAATTGAAAACTGGACAACTCCTGTATGTCGATATTTTGGAATAGAATATATCATATAACAGTACAGATACATAGTTTCTATACAGATTCTAGGTTAAAGAAAACAGTTTCATCTTTCGTCAGTAAATAAATGAAATCAAACATATATATGCTGTATAAATAAATCAAAAACTTTAACGGACACATAAAATTATAACAAAAAGTCTCGAAACAGCGTTGGGAGAAAACAAAGGAAGCGAAGTTATAAACACCTTCAGAAAGAAACTTTACGCAGAAGATATTATACTTAGTTCTATTCCCATTGGTACACACCAGTACATGTTGACCAAAAGAAATAGACAGATATTATGTAACATGACGAGATTCATACTTAAACAATCAAAAAGCTACCTAAAATATATTTGGAGAGACGCATTTTAGGGTGCAAGCTTTCCTATGACCCACATGATAAAAGGAACGAATTGTCTACTCCCGAACATATATACAAACTTTAGAAGATAAACATACTATTATAAACCTCTAAGTATTTATGAACGACACCAATATTAAAAAAAACACAGATGGTAGAGCTATAGAAGGTGTTATTCTATCAAACCCCACGACTCCACTCAGGAGAGATACTAAGCAACAGAAAGAGTTCTTCGCTTCAAAAAAAATTGTGAGCTATAGAAAAAAATTTTCCAAATGAAGGGTAACATGGAATTATCAACATGACGTAAATTTATGTACAAACGAGTTCCGAATATTAACTTAACATCATTCAAATATTTAAAGCGGTAATAACCACAATCGAGGAAAGAGGATATGAAGATACTATAATAGTACTGACATAAAAGTAACACGAACATCATTATCCACCTAAAACAACAATAATATCGGAAATAAACATACTAAACAGTAGACAGTAAATATAAAAGCATAAATAGTACATACTTATAAAAAAATCTTATTTAAAAATTTAACAAATTAACCTCAATACAGTAAAGGCTAGAAACAAACATCTACAAGCTTAAATAAACATCTAAACAAAGAAAACTCTGTATAATAAATAATAAATACAACCCCCTGTAAACACCATAACAAGAAAAAATAGAAAAGCGGTAATTTAAGATAGGCATTATAAATCACATTATTGAACAAATAGAAAGTTGATAGCTTTAATGAAAACCAAATTAGAAACCAACAAATGAAAATACATGAAAGAAAATATAAAAACACAGAAAAATACTAAACTTATGGAAAAAAAGTTTTCTCACTTACTTTGAAAAGGGACAAATGATATAATACGCAAGCACAAACATTTCAATACAATTATATTTATTAGTAAATATGTATATGTCCTAGTAAACATAAATTATAGGGGCGTTGTCCCGACTGGCCCACAAATCGAACTAATTTTTTAACACCCTATAATCCACTGAAAATACAAGAAAAACACCAAAAGCTGACAGCGGTATTAAAGAGAAATGAGAGCAAAAAGTTAAAAGAAGAAGAAAAAATATGAATAAAACATAATAATGATAAAATTAAAAAAGCAAAATATAAATATATGGATGAGCACGAAAGAGCTCTTATGGTCAATTGAACACAACAAATTAAATTCGTTGACGTAAAGAAATTTTTATTAAACACTGGAGGTTTTTTAGCAAACTTCCTGTATCGACTACTTATAAATTCCTTTATGCTATCAAAAGACTCATTTAGACTGTTAACAACAATATTAAAAATCAAAAAATATACTAGTAGGATAGTAGACATCATAACCGCATTTTTACATACAAAATTAATAAACCAAATTATGTAAAACATTTATTAAGAATTATGCCTCATAAACTACTTGCTTAAACAAAAACAGATGTCCTTACGGAAAAACACAATATAGAAGTCTAATGTGAACTAAAGAATTGCCAGTCTTTATCATAGAGATTTTATTTAACTAATGTGGATATACATACAAATTATTGATGATTTTATCTTCTATTTAACTGATACAAAACAATAATAGATTTTTGTTTAAAGGGCTGTGTTATTCTTAGAGAAGCTGATCCTTTATTAAGGAATTTTTTTAAGTTAAAACTGATTGTTCAACAGACATAACGCTTGATATCCGATATCAATAGGAAGAATATATACGCATGCTTTAAACAAAAAAAATGGAACACTTAATAAAACATTGGATATTAATAAAAAAAATATTAAATAACCGACCATGTTAGCAAAGGAAATCTTAAAAAATACTATGTCAGGTCAAATACTTTAAACAATCATACTGAGTTTGAGCATTGTCGTGGTAGCTCAGCGGTTAAGAAATTAAAGCGCATATTCAGAGTGGTGGGGTCGACTTCCCCCTACGCAACTTTCTTTTTCGGTGTTTGATGGTCGCATATATAACCTTTTTATAAATTCTAATATACTACAGTCTCATCGGGCTCCGAGATATAACAGATAGATAAGACGTATACTGTGTCTAGATTTACGCACAATAACGACAACTTACAGGTTTTTTATAACTACCAAGGAGAATTTATTAGAAATTTATAACAAAGAAACAACGAATGGGGAAGTTAATATGCTATGCTCTTGCAGCATCGGTTAATAACTACGACTACAGAACTACCCGTATAACCAATATTAATCTCAGTTATATACTTTAATTGTCATGACTGTAATACAATCTTTGTGCGAAACATTATACACAGCATAATACTTTCATAGCATCAAGAGCTACTAATTTATATACAAATATCCTTCTAGATTGAAAATTAAACAAGCAAAAACATTACTAATGGCGACTATCTAACAAAAATTACTAATTAATTTTTTAACTGAGCATAACGTTTAACAGAAAAGATAATTTTACGAAATTTTAAGAATATATTACTATAAAATTAAAAAACGAAGAATAAGAGTGATCGCATTGATTTTGATTGACCCTACAGTAGTCGCTCCTCTTATTTAGACATTAGTAGTCGCAGTAGGTCTCTCAGACCCCTTGACTTATAAAATTTTACTTTTATATTAAATGAAAAACGCCTAAAATTTTTTAACGCGTTGTTTATTGAGGTATTAGGATACAGGTCACACTAAACTTTAACCTTCTAAGTTGATAATTAAAATAATTTGCTGAGCTGTGAGTTCCCCTGAGGTTACTGTAGGGTTAAACAAGAAAATTAAGCCCTCTCGCTTTGGCCTATCTTTATCCATCGTTACATATTTTTTTATCTGTCACACAAACTTTACATTAAATTAATTTTTATATATTCTAACATATAATGTTCTAGGGGATAAAGCAGCTGACTTTACAACATTTAAAATTGATCGGCTTTCTGTAGTCAAGTGTATTATTACTTCCAGGGTTATGGAGGCGAAGTTTGATAAGCAATCTGTTTAGGACCAGAAAAGGGATTGACGCCTATGAATACCGAATCCACATTCTTGAGTTTTCGTGTCATGCTCTGAATCACTGAGCTAAGACGACAACTCTTAATTTCGGAATGATGGATTACATTTTTAATAAACGAAAAGAGTTTTTTACTATTTGCTCAGTCAAAAATATTACTTACAGCATTAACCCCATACATTTTAATAATTATAAGAAGAATTCGACCACTCCGATTAGAAAAAGTATAGATATTTATTGTCTTATGTAGAAAAATAATGCAAAAAAGTGTTCCACTTTTTATAAAAAGGTTTATCCAATTTCTTTTTTTATAAAAGCACTAGATTTTCCGAAGTGGTGGCTAAATCTTGGTTTAAACCTGAGGAGGTCTTAAAAGTTAAAGAAGACTTGCAGAATATCTTACTTTAAACAAAATGGTAAGGAGGATTTAATTTTGATATATTTAGTATTATCATTTATTTAAAACATGTAGCAAAAGAATTTGATACCGTAAAAAGGTTACTTTATTTGTAAACAACAGATTAGAGTTGTTGAGCATAATGTATCTTTAGTTGAAGTTCACAAATTTTTTTTAAATAAGTTATCTAATTAGTTATGAGCTTGATTTAGCAGGGATAATAGTTAAACCATATCAACGTTATTATTATAATACAAAAGAACGCAACGTTGTTAACCACGGAACAAAGTAAATGGAACTTTTAAAATACTACCAAAAAAGTTTTTATGACAGAATTTTCTTTGTGACTTTAGGAACCACCTGTGACCTAATATTTAAAAGTTAAAATATATGCCACTGCCTGCGAATTTTTCTGCCGTTGAGTATTTGGGTGTTTAAACCTTAAAGTAGTGAACATGAACTTTTTTGCGCATCGGTTAGTGGGTGCGTTTTAATGTCGTTTCATAGTACTTCACTAAAGATTCCCTTGCGAAATGTTTCGTAACATGTGATTCATCAAGGAGTATAATTAACTAATAAGGCCCCATGAAAAGTTTCATTGTGTGCTCGAGCTTGCGTGGTGTAAGTATGGAGTCAGTGATCTTGTGCTCATATGTGTGTATTCTGGCGGGCAGCGGAGTTGCTATTGATATGATTTACAATTCTCTCTAATGCACGCTACCCTTTATCGGTGCCATGGTTTTTATACTACGCCAGGAAAGAAAGAGCTATATACAACATTAAAAATTAAGTAAAGAGGTTACTTTATTACCTATAAAGTATTCCTTTGTTCTTATGTATTCTTGTATTTAAGCAGCCTTATGTTAATTGGTGTTGGCGTTGATATTGTCGCTGTTAAAAGAATCGCCGGGGTTCTTAGGAGATCATCAGAACGGTATACAAATAATATTATTCTGTAAGTGTTTAGTTAAAACATATTAATACATTTACTCTCCAAAAAAAATATTAATTTAACTTATAAAAAGCGTAACTATAATAAAATGGTCAGAAGATCTGCTTTTTTAATTTAATTGTTAACTATAAATTACAAAAAATTTTAAAAATGTATTTCTCTAGTTTTTTAAATAAGATTTACACCTCGGAGGAACAACTTCGGTTTCTTGAACTAAGGACAGAGCGTAATAAAGAAAAATCAGTATTTTTCCTCTCTTCCAGGTATACCAACTATTTATATTATTTAGTAAAAAGTTTTTGTTATGAACATGTTTACAATGCTAGAGGTAAATGTTTTTTATGTACAAGTGACATATATTATCTTTATTATGGCAGATGGGCACTCAAAGAGGCTGTTTTTAAAGCTCTCAGCCCTTCGACTCTTACCTGGAGGGACATCGCCACAACTTCTAACGAAGGTATTTTTGTTCGCCCCGCTTAGCGTCCCCTCGAGTGTAACACGTTTATGTACAAGGAAAACCGACGCTTTTAGTTAGTGATAAACTAAAGAATATTTACAAAGAAAGGGGCATTACCAACTGCTTCATATCCTTAAGCCACGATTTAGAATACTCTGTAGCCTTTGTGATTTTTGAGTATTATTTTTCAAAAAACTTATTTGATCAAAAGTTATATGTAAATTTAAAGGTCTTAACTTTGAGGCTGCTGGCTGTAGAGGTTTTCTTTAAATATTACAAATTACTAAACTTCTTGGACTATCTACGGCTAAACCTGCAATTTTATTAATTAAAAAAGGAAACGTTCACGCTAATTTATATATTTCGTATTATATAAAAAAAGTATTTTCTCCCATTTGTAATTTTTTTAAACTAGATGTTATGCTTTTTCCTCAATATTTTTTTTGTTATGGAAATATCACTTGTTATAATACTTGAAACTTTCTGTTTGAAAATCCTTTTATATGTTAAGGATACACCATTTTTGACTCACAAGACGGCGCTGTTTGATACCTTTATAGTAATTCAGACACCGCTGCATTTCTCAACTATACTAAGAATAGTTAACTTTGAATTATTAGACTTGAAATAAAAAGATTCCAACTAAAAAGATACTATTGATCGTTTATAATTCTGGGCTTTTATTAGTACTCAACTTAAATAAAGCCACAAGCACAATTTTATTCTCCATAGCTTAGCTGGAGGAAGGCGAATATCCCTTAGCAGAGGTGTTTTGTGCCCTTGACTTTTTTTTTAAAACAAACTTTTTAAGATCCTGAATATAGCCCAGGAAAGAAAGTAGATGGGGTATTCTCTTTACTTTCATCCTTTTAAATGCTACATTGCAGGAGACAGTTGGTAAAACAGCGCTTACAAATTTGTTATAAAATGACAGCTTTCCGATTTAATAGATATGGATATCTTAATGTTGCAATCTGAATAGTTTTACCTACAGTCACAGAGGTGCACTTAGACAATGGGTGGCTTTTGTAAATTATGACAGACCCTTACTGAGCTCATCAGTGTGTCTGTAGTTTTTCAAGGTTTTTTTTACTATAACTTGTCTCAAAATCAAGAAAACAATGTAGCCTGTCTCACAGCCTAAATATATATTGTTTATATGGGTCTTGAAAGAGTAATTTTATTTAGGTTAACGTCACTTTTAGCTCTTTTTGTCGTTTCTTATATTATTCCTTTCTACGAAATGACCGACTTATCCTGTATTCATTTGAACTCTAAAAGTTAAGGTCCGCACTATATTTTTAGAAGTTAGGGTGCTTTCTTCACCCCCTCTTTACGCCTAATGCTCTAAGTTCTCCCCCAAACCAATTAATAGGCTGTATTGCGAACTTTTATTTTTTCAGCTTTATTTAAAAAATAAAGTTAATATACTGTTTATTCAATAATTAGTACCAACTTTATATATACAATAAACAATAGTTTTATATAGCAGGCTAAATTACAATTACTGACAATGACTAAGGCATCTCAGGAAATATATTAATTGCTACGTCTTACAGAACGCGTGATAGTTTTTTTACTAAAATTAACACGGCTCATCCTAACATAAAAGTTTCACACCCTCTTACCGCCTTGCGTGTTCTGTAATGACCTGCCTAGATGCACCAGTAACTAGAGCATATTACACAAGCATGCGTTTATTGGAACTGCACTTATTACACCCATGCTACCGGGTATCTAAAGTGTGCATCAAACGTGGCCATTAGGCAGCACCGTCCTTTGAACCCTCCTTACCTTTGGCATGGTGAGAGTGGAATAGTTAAACACTTTCGCTATCTCTCTTTGAAAAGAGTCTTCTGCATTACCAGGATTCTAAATTTTTTTTCCCTAAATTTTGTAATTTTAGTTTGTCCTTTTGAAGTTATTTATTTCTTCACCCCGCATCCTACTTTAAGCCCGTAAAAGGCATCGCTCGTCCTAATAAATTTTTCTGTTGATTTTGAAACCTTTTCTTTGGTGCTACTTTAGTAAAGTGATTCTCTGCTATCACCACCACACGTAGTTCCATCCTAACGAACTTCACTTCTATTTACAGTGACGGCACCTTGGCATGCCATTAGCTTTGCACCTCAAGGGGGGGCATATTAATTTAATTTCAATTTTATACTTTAACTTTGTACCCCAGGGTGTCGGTATGTTCTGAGGTAGAGGAGCTCTGGCACAAACTAGGTTAATATTATTACTAATGCCTCCTGTTTAAATACTAAATAAAGCAATAATAACAGGGCCTTTTTACTAAACTTTATCTAAAATAGGTAAAACAAAGTGATAAGTATATAAACTATAAATATTTTATCGAAGATGATGTGACCCTCTATTTTTTTAAAGATTCGCCGTATTAGCCACACAATGACTGCATACGGTTTGTAGTAAAAGGTTAACAGATTAAAATCTACGTAAAAGGCTTATTGGCAATTATTAAAGTTAGCACATGGGGGCGAAGCCAACGCATAACCGGTTTAGTGCCTGAACACTGGAAGTGTCGTTGATTTCATACTTCTTATATTTCTGGGAATGAGGAGCCCAACTTACTTTGAAGACACACTACAGGAAGCTCGCCTTTCAAAGAAAGCTTTAGAGAAAAAAGAATCTGCCGACGTTTGTGTTATCGGGGCCGGCTTAGCTGTTAGTTACTTGTATACCTCTTCAACTACGACTATTTTTTAAAAATTAAAGGGGCTTAATGTAGCACTTTCTTTGGTCGAATTAAACAAAAACGTCGTTGTTTTAGAAGAACACCGAGTTGGAGATAGTGCAAGTGGAAGAAATGCTGGCATGGTGTGCTCTGGTTTTCAGAGAGAACCTCTTGAGATTATGCAACTAATTGGTTACGAAGTACAGTTAAATAATAGTGTTACAGTTATTGCTTACTTATATATTTATAAAAGTTATTTTAATAAGAAAGCCAAGACTCTTTGGAGCTGGGCCTCTGAAGCCCGTGATCTCATCCTCTACCGCGTTCATAAGCTTAAAATTAATTGTGGAATTGAGAAAAGCGGCCAGCTTACTTTATCCTGTTATCCAGGAGTTATTACTTCAAACTTAGTTTCACTTATTAATAGAAATTTTGGAACCTCTTTTAAGGTATTAACGTTACGTAGATAAGCCAATCTTCAGCTTCCCACTTCAAAGTAATGTTACGGAATACTAACAGCCACTTTACAGTTTTGGACCAAGGAAGAAGTTCGGGCCATTTATAAATCCACCTTTTACCACAGTGGGTTGTATGACCCAGACTCTTTTTCGTTGCACCCTTTGAATTACGTCTTGGGCTTAGCGAGGGCATGCGAATCCGAAGGCGCAAGGATTTACGAAGAAAGCAAGGCTATAGAAATTAGGCAGAACAGTCAACCAGGCCGCCCTTGGGTAGTCTGTACACCTCATTCCTCCGTTGAGTGTGACTACGTAGTTTTGACTAAAAGTTTCAGTGTAGATTTTTCATGTAATACGAAATTTGAGCGCTCACTTGCGTCTTGTTACACTTATATTATGGTGACGGAGCCTTTGGGGAAAAGAATTCGTGAGATCTGTGGGCCCCACCCAGTTTGTGACGATCGATTGTCGTTGAGTTATTATCGTATTCTGCCCGACTCACGATTACTATGGGGAGGACTGGCCTGCGCTTTTCCTATAAAATCTACACAGAAACAAATTAAGCTCTTACGTCAAGATATGCTCCAGGCTTATCCTCAACTTGAAGATATTAAGATCGATTACGTTTGGGGAGGCAAGTTGGCTTTTGGTTGGGATTTAATGCCGTTAATCCAGGAAAAGAATGGGATATGGCAAGTATCCGGCTTTGGAGGTCACGGCTTGATACCAACTACCTTATGCGGATCTCTTGTTGCTTGCGCAATTTCCTCCAACTATGCGGACACCAGGTGGAAAATATTATCGGAAAGCTTCCAACCTAAATATACTGGCTGGCCTTTTACAACTTTTTGGACCTTCTTGTACTTAAAAGCCTTTCAACTCCGAGATTATTTTGTTTTTAAGTTCCAAAAGAGGGACTGAAGTTGTTTGGACAGAAATTAAAATTTTATTAGGCAATTTGATAATAAAAGAAAGTGGTTTTATTAGCCACAGCAACTTTAGAAAACATTTAAGTATAAATTTGTATATAGTAAAGATGTAAACCTCCAATAGCTTCTTTTAACTCATTTAAGTTTTCAAGTAAAAAGATAGCTTTTTATTAAAAAAAAAAGGTTCTATTCAATTAATATTGGGCTAAAAAACTCCCTTCCGTGATAGCATACATATCCTTTCTCTTCATCTTTAAGTTTAATTTTCTTCCCTTTATAGTAAATAAATTTTTCGTACGTTTTCGTAACGTGACTTAAATATTGATGACCCGCACCTAAGTTAGATAAGAAGTAAACAATTAATATACACAGCATGGTTTTATCCTTACCTGAGCAGGACTGCGCATACTCAGCTTTGAAAAAATCAGATTGGTCTCTTTTAAATGCTTCTTTTTGACGTTTAGGTTTCCTGGAGTGTCTAATTCTGGCCCACTGACGTATATTCCGCCGCGAAGGCAAAGTTAAAAAACTATCTCTGGCTTTGGGTAATCCGGCCGAAAGGAACCGGCTTAGCATGGACAACAAAAGGGCCCAAAACTTTCGTGTGTGTGTCCTACTTATATGCACTGTGCATCTCTGGGTCAAAGTTACCCCTAACCTCCCCCAAAACTAAAAATAAAATTCTTTTCTTATGTATAGCCTCGTAATAATTATACTCAGTTACAGCTATTATAGAAACCATGCTTTCTTAGGTTAGTATATATAGCTTATATAACACGACTTCTATTTCACTTTTATTACTCGGGTGTAGGCGTAAAGAAATTCAATAAATCTGTTTTGCTTCTTTTGTACTTCATCTTTGGCGTAGGCTTTGTATATATTATGTTTACGCGTACCGAGGACAAGAATTAACACTTAAAATAAAAAATTGGTATAAGTGACAGTTGCATATATAATAACAGTATAACATCGGAAGTTATACATTAACATTTTAAGCAATGAATGAATGCGCGTAATAAACCGGCATTTAATTTTAAATTCTTTTTTTGTCACCTTATGGCCACAAAGACACATGATTATCAGTTAAAAAAAACGAGACTAACAGGTTGAATACGAAACGAAAATGAGGGTTGTCCTCATGGCTTAGCGGTTAACAGCAACGCTGCTTAAACTCAAATTAAGATTAGATTATAACAAGAACTACAGAATACAGAATGTGAACTTTTTGCAGACTAATATCACTTAATTTGCAAACATAACTACTCTAATTGCCGAAAACTAATAAACCTAGGGAATACACCTATTGTTTAGTGGTTTGATTTACTTTACATTAATTCTATACAATTTTTTTTTGTTAGTCTACTATAGTCTATAACTTTAAACTCTAATAAAAACCAACCAATGTTATAAGTTAAAATAATTATAACGCAAGAGGAGTAATTTTCAAAATAAAATAGTACACGTATTATAGAAGCTGTGATAATGCCCTTGTTCGAGACAAAGATTTCTAATATAATATAGAAAATTCGAGGAACTGAAAGAAACGGTTGTGTTTTTTTTTTAGCAAGAGATATTTAATATAATAAAAATAACAAAAAAAACATCAGGTCAACGTTGTGCCAAATCGTTTATAAATTAGAGTGGTATGTCCTCAGGCGAGTAATTTTTAATTACACACACGAAACCTCAACTTATTAGCTCTATATATACTTATATATAAATATTTCCTTGGCAATGGGTAAACAGGCACCATTGATGATGCCTTCGAAGGCACGGCGATCAGCCTCTCTGCCATTTGAGTACAGGCCTATTAGTCTTTTGTCAGCAGTAGGCAAGTAGTTGTAACCGTCCTACTGCACTGCTTGAAAGCGTTTGTGAACTAAAACTTAATCCTGCAAGAGTTCTGATTTGGATTTTGAAGTATATTATACAGCCTAACAGCTCCTGTGCCTGGTAGAGTGGACGACCCGTAGCTTCAATTTTTAAAAAGGCGACAAGCGCCCTCTTTCTCGCTGTCGAAATAGCTTTTTGCCCAAGTGTGATATAAGGGCTTGCTTCGGAATCCCTGCAAATTCCTGACGCATTATTTTCGTGACCGCGCCCGTTGGTTGCAGTTAACTGCCGATGAATTTCGCAGAATAGAAGCACTACTGCGTCAGATGGCGGAGGACAAGCCTGTCCAAGTCATTCTTCGAGATTTTCTACAGATCTACCCTTAGGGCTGGCAAAAAAAAAACCGGATTTTCTCCCTCCGAATAGAGCGAATTTCCAAAAACCGCCGGTACGACGAGGCCTACACCAAGCGATTTCTGCCCCTAGTTCATGTACACAGGCCTTGGAAATGAAGGACTTACGAATTACTAATTACAATCACTATATCAAAAGCAAGCCTTAAACCGCTGTGTCAGGGTGACCACAAGGGTAGTGTTTTTCAGCGCTTTAGCTTTAGCGCACAGATCTGCGATTTTACTTCATGCTGCAACAAATGTGGGGATACTATCTAACAGTGCAATGTAAGAAGCCTCGCGATTTTGATTGCAGAGTCCGCTGAACTCTGCAGCAAAGCTCTCACCACGAAGTACCAAAGATCTTAAATTGTTTTTCTGCCGCCAAACATCCTCGACGATCTCTTTTGCAATTATGATGGGATAAAGGCCTCGTGCACTACAATCCGCTCAACATCAATAACCTATTGGTTTAAAACAAGTGAGAAGCATTTCTTCGAGCGATAAGCAACCTAACTACCACTAAAAATGGTTGTTGGAGTAGCTCATTGCTCCAGCTAAAGCTCTTGCGAGTGGAATACCAACGGCGTGCTCTGCAAGAAACAAGGATGCTGCAACTGTTGCAGCGTGAACATGCAGCTGTCGCGCTGGAAAACTAGACGCACCTAACCGGATCGACTAGTACTCTGAAATTACACAACGTACCAACTTGATCGTCTTAACAGACGCGACGGAGGCATAGCTCCTAAATTTAAAGGGTGTAAAGACCTTGGGGATCCGTCTTATCTGTGGTGGCACGAGAGGGACAGATGTGATATTGGTCGACAAATCTCTCTGGTAGACCGCGGCTTACAAGCTTTATAAGCTTCTTCAATGCAAATTTCCCCCTCCATTTTCTGGGGCAATTTTAACTGAAAGCAAGCTGCTTGGAACAATCGAGTCGAAAACCCGGTTGGGAAAATACTTGAATTGCACGGACCAACTCAAATCTTCGAATGCTGCCATCACAAACCGACTAAAGTTTGATGTTTTACCACTGCAAATACAATATCTTAATGATTTTATAATTAATTACTACAATAGAGAATAAGTTCGCAAAAAACTAAAACCAACTCCTGCCCTCCTTAAAAAATTAGTCGGTTTCGACGGCCAAGCTGAATGAGCTTCCGTCGGATCAATCCCCCTCTTATTAGAGTTAGGCGAAGGCAAGGCTACAGAGAAACTCTGAACAAGGACAATCCCGGGCTGAACAAAATGTATCTTCCCTTTCCGACTTCCTCCCTGTCAGAAGACGTGGTAAATTAGTTAAAGAGTGTACTGACAGCTTCCTTACTGTCGCGACAACCAACCGTAAAGTTCTTATTGCCTTCCGAATTATATAATATTACATCGTTAGAACCTTGACGACAAACTTATACTAAAGAGTCTTCACAGACACATTAGAAAAGAGCTGCCCACCTTGAAGACAAAAATTCAGGACTTGCTCGAAGCAAAAGAAAAGTAAAGGCCACTTGGTGCTTCAATCGAAGTAAAAAACACTGCTACGCTCCGCCTTTGCCACTTAATGATGCCGGATGTGGCTGACAGAAGGGAAATAAAGCAGCGCTCTTTGCCGATTATCTCGCTGCAAAGTGTGTGCTTGGGCTGTCTTTCAAGACGAAGGCAAGACAACGTATGACCCCTTCCCATTAGCGACAACCTTATCATACCAAGCACACAGCTGATGAAATTGTTGTTAAAACTCTGCACTTATAGGACGTGAAGCATCTGTCCCGCCGCTGTTACTAACGAGACGCTTAAAACTTGCCATCAGTATTGGACTTTAATATATAACGTTCTCATACCACGTGGTTCGCGTGCATATGACCTTGCGCCACATGATCTCGCCACGTGTCTGTTGTGAAGTATCACATGTCTAGGCACGTCAGTTTACATATGCTCTTACCACGTGGTCACCTTTTTTTTTTTAGCACCGGCATACTACGGCCGGCCTTCTTCAGGGATTAGGTCGCTTAATTTGAACCCCCTTTCTGAAGGAGTTGGGGCACGCGTGCCCACCAGTGTACGTTCTCGAGAGAGCAATAATGATTGTCCCTAGGGGCTGAAAAAGCGGGAAATATCGGGCCCGGACTTCCGCTATTCGGTCTAGTATGTTGGAAAATTGCTAAAGCACCAACGGGAGAGGCAGTCTTAGGCACAAGACCTGAGGCCACCTGGAGACACCTGCCAGCCACACCTCCTCGATTATAAGCTCCGCACCAGGGAGAGGAGCCCACGTGACTTGATTTTATTTTACCTTGAAGGTATAAATACCCTCTTTTTACGGGAGGTTAAATCAATCGCTCCTCCTCTCACTCTCCATCGACCAGGAAGGGTACCCCTCCTTGTGCAGCCCTTCTTAAAACATTTAAATATAGGGCCTAATGAGCCTGGGAATCTATATAACCTTTTAAAGTTAAACATTTTCTATAACATAACCTTGTTGACATCGCATGTATGGAAAACAAAATAAATTTAATTAAAATTCCATTATTGTTTAGGAGGGGGCATACGTAGAAAAAGATTATTGCGCTTTTGCTTTATTTAGGAAGTTTTCATGAAATGTTACTTCCTGGAGAAGAGTGCGGACACGTCGGTGGTGTAAAGAAGCGGTAATAGTAACACAGTAACACACCTCCCATGGCTCGCGCCTTAACCTAGTAATGCTGCTGGGGATGATTGATTTGTGCCAACCTCGCATGGTGGTAGATCTACTAGACTGGCCTAAATAACGATCAAGAATGCTTACTTTTAAAATGTTACTTCCTAGTACATACTATTTCCGCGCTTGACAGACCCTCCTATTGTTTTTTCATAAAGCAGGTCTTTAGTATAGTTTGGGATTTAGTATAACTCTAAGGGTAATAATAACGTTAACAAGAAAGTCTTTGAACACGCAGGTAAACATCTTATAGTAAAGTTTTCTTAAAGAGAAATTTAATATTAAATTGTTATAAATATTTCGCTATTATGTATAATGACTTGAGTCTAATAAAATGTTCTATCGCGCATTTCTCCCAAAAAATAAATTTGAAAACAAGTCATTTTTAAAAAAAAGATATTAAGGTCGCCAACTTGTCTAGCATCTTGCCTACTATATATATTCTACGCCAGTGTAGTCAGTAAAAAAAATGTTATTTCTACATAGCATCAAAAAAAGGGTATTTCAAAGAAATTCTACTGGAATTAAGTTTATAAAAGAAACGCTTATTAGAGCTTATTAGAGTGTAAGCATTTATGAAGGATTATATAAAAGATAATAAACTGAAGAATTGTCGGCTGATGAAGCTATCCGAAGGAACTTTTTAAAGGTAAACACGCGAATGTGTGCTATTAAACGGATTAACTACACCATATTTTTCGCAGAGAGCTTCCTGACGAGCGCGTTGATACTCTTATAGTAAAGGAAGGTCTCCTCTAGAGATCTTTATTAAAAACCTTGCATAGATTGTGCAATATAAAACACAGATTTTAATTTTGGGGTTCTAATAGAGCTTTAACCGCAAATTATGTAAAACAAAAGTGCCTAAACTCAAAATTAGATTATCGCTGCCATCGTTATCAATATATTTGAATGCTTTTTAGTAATCTAGAGAAATAGTACGTGTCCTTAAGAATTTGGAGAACCAAGGCACACCTTTTAGGAAAAAGATGGTCTATTTGTCCTCGCCAAAAAACATCTGCAGTCAACTAATTTATTAAACAAAGAAGCAATAATCAATTTTGAATTGTTGTAAACTCGCTTTCTGGATAAAATCCAAGAAAAGTTTTTATCAAAGTGACAAACAAGGGGATTGCTAGCAGAATCAACACCATCCAATCTAGTTTAGAATCTGCAAGCATGTGTATAGTTGTGTAGGTAGTGTGAGTAAATAGCAATAGCGGCACCTTTGCTGTGTTGATGCTCATCTTTCAAAAACTGATTCATACTATTAAGAACATTTAACCTTATTTCCAAGACTTTTATACGTCTGTCTATCTGCATGTACCCTCGTATAATTGTGTAAAACCTGTTGGTAAAGTCATTCGCCTTCCTATGCGATCATCCCTAAAAGTTAAAAGGAGCAGAGAGAGGAAAAAAGAAAGCTCCACCAGAGAAAATTTTTTTTCAGGTGTGTCTATAACCCTCCAAGTTAAGTAAATTCTGCTGGTAAGCCCGAACAAATAACCCATGATCTTGGACGTTTTCTTCCTAAAGCAGTTTTCAATATATGCCCTGACTTTCCAATTAAAAATTTTACCTTGTTAATTCAACGAATCCTTTGCTCGCTAATTCTGAAGGAAAATCTTAAAAGTAAAGGATTGTATTGTCTACAATATCTGCCAAAAAGAAATAATCCCTGATTACCGAATCTAAACCGGTGAATGGTTACTTTCATGTACACTTAGTTTCAGACTTTGACCCAAGGCAAAGGAGATCCTACGGATATTTACAGTGACCATATAACAGTAGGCGAGCATAAAAAGTATTAGTCCTGGACCTTGCTAGTGTTTAATGTGATTATATCGTTGTAAATATTGGGGGCCGTAACATAGTTAACTATTACTTCAAAGCGGTCGTAGTCGATTCCTCTTCAAAAAAGGTTGGATGTAAAACCGTATAACGTTCTTTACTATTTGAAGAAGAAATCTTTGCATAAGGAACAGCAGAAGATACGCTTTCGCAAACCTTTTTGCATTCAGGTACGAGTCCCCACAGGGCTACTACACCGAAATTAAAAATATATAGTTCACCCTCTAGATTTTCATAAGCCTCACAAGCTGAAAGGAGCAATTACAAGCGAAAATAAGCCTCCTCTTAGACGGCAAAAGAAAGCTAAGTGCCTATAGGTGTTTAAGAAGCCAGGATAATATTTAACGTAGAGGTAATTTTGGTATCCTTTATTTAAGTTTTTATCATGTATCGAATTTCTCTGGTTTCTTATGTCTTCAAACCACTCTTTTTAAAATTGGGTTGTAACTCATTTAAAAAAGGCTTTATGGGTAAAATAGGATCTTCCCCATTATACTCAGAACGCTGCTGGTTAGACAATCCGAGCTCCTTTCGCAGTTACAGAGGAGAATAAAACCCGTGTTAGAACTTAAATTGCAGATGCTAATAATTTAAGCTGTCGGAGTTTCAACAAATTTATTTTGCACAAACTTTTACGTTCTGCCTAAACCGCGATATTGTTGCTTTTTAAAGGAATTCATAAATGCCCAAATATAAGTAACTTTCACGTAGATTTATATACGTAAATGTTAAATATATTTTTTCTTTGTAGAATGCTTTGAAAGTCTTGGGTTAGATAGTAATATTAGCTGTTATACCACACATGGACGATAGATACGCGCAGTTACTTAGCATATTAATGTATGCATAAAAAAATCTAACTTTCCCAAAAATAAGAGTGAGCGGACGACCGACAACTCTTCGGGGAATGTTAAATAAAAATTAAACCTTAATACCAAATTCACGCTCTTTTCAGAAAAAACAGAAGGCTAGAGGGCGTCGTCTCACTTAAAATTTGAGAAAGTGGAAGGGAGCCATAGTTTTCTCTAAGATTTGAACGTCTAAAACTTTGGCTAGTGCTCATGGTTTCTCCAGCGTTTTCTTGACTATGAAAGTCGTTATAAATTTCAGATTTTAAAACTGAAATAAGTTATTTTATTAGTGATAACGAAAGGATATAATGGCAAGCTATTTCATAACTTGGTTTTCCAAGGTTTTACGAAACACTGATCTTTAGGAATTTAAATAAGTCTCGCAGGTCACTGGCGCTTTGTATATATCCATAAATAATATATATTCTTAACTTAAAAATAGGAAACCTTGATTCGCAGTATAAAGTGATACTCCCCCTATTAATTGGTTTCGGAGAGAGTTGAAGGTACTTTGTGGGAAGCTTAACAAAATGTTCTTCGCCAGGAAGGCTCTATATTAAGAATGTTTAGGAGGGTTAAAAAAGGTTTGTGAAACAAGTACTGAATGCCGAAATGTAGACATGGATAATTTCAGCTATAGAGCTTATGGTAATTTCCTTATCTAAAGTTGATATAAAACAAAACTTTTTGGTATAGTGCAGAAAATCAACAGGGTATAAAAATATTGATAGCAAGTAATTAATTAAGGATTCATAGGAAAAATTGTTTTCAATCATCAATGAAAATTTATAAAAATCTATACATGGATGGCTTAGGTAAACAATAAAAAATAACTATCATCTATGCTTACCTGTCCATCACTGATTGTTTTTTCATATAAATCGATATTGTAACTTTTTTATAGACTTCTCGTGACTACCTTTCTAAGGAGCCCTACTATTCTACGAATTTTATTTAGGGACGTCTTTGTGGTTAAAGCTTAATTTTGTTTTTTGTTATTTATTTATTAATAAAGTATACTAAACTTTTAAGTAAGGTAACATAATTTTTTTAGCTATTGTGAAGGTTTATCTTTATATTATCGGTTCACATTAAGATATCTATTGTATTTCAAATCGTTGCACGAGTACAAGCGTACTTTGTTTTAATGATTAAAAAATGCTGTATACAGGCTTATTTTATTTTGTTGTTCTTTTAAAAAAATTAATTATTTGTCTTGTATTTTGAAAGACATGTATAGATTTTTCATCATTTGCAGAAAATGTGGCATAATTGACTTCACTAGCTGCATTTATCTACTAACTAGTCAACAAATTTGAGTGCAGTCGTTAAAAGAAGAACAAACGGTATCTGTGGCGTTCCCTTGTCTCCATAAGCATTACGTTTCCCTTTTATTCATCCAGTACTTTGAGCTATCTCAATAAGTTAAGGATAAATATATTTTCTAAAATCTTTCATAGCGGATGCATAACTTTATTGTAATTAGGCAAATCATTTTTACTTATGGGATACACAGAAACTATAGTAAAGGTACGATTGGCTACGATTAGCCATGACAAAATTCTATTAACAAATAAGTTAGTCCCGTAATTTTTTATATACTAAGATGTATGCCTTAATCCGTGTTAAAATAAAGACAACTTTTTTTTTTTTGTTTCATTTGCGTTAACAAACCATATAGCAATAAGTTCGGTTTTCTAAGCCTACACAACTCATTACAGGATATATTAGACGCAGTAGTTTATAGACTATATCTGTAACTATGACTTATTGGTTATCTTGAACTTAAATAAAATTATTATCAGGTTGTTCTTATATTGTAGATGTCTAATTGCAAGTAAAACGGGCTGTGCAATAGGGCGTATATGAAAGTATAATAAACAAAAAAAGTTAGATGTAGTGATCAGCAATAACGTTAAAGATATTCCCAAGGAAAATATTAAGAGAATAAATAAACGATATTTTTAAACAATTTCAGGAAAAGAAGGTCAGTTACAAATAACTTATGTTCTCCTTTCCATGTAAAAGCAGAGGGGGAGACAAATAATAAAATATGTAGCCTTTTCTACCCCACTTTTAAGATTCTATTTCAATTCAGTTTAGATCCACCTATTAGCCCTACCATCTGCGTTCGCTATCTATATAGAGCCTTAGAATCCTATTATCTGAATCTTTTTGACTATTGTATTCATCAGAGTAGATTTAAAAATCACAACCTTTGAGAGGGCAGCATAAAGTGGTGGAAAGCTAAAATTTATTATGGCGTCTATGCATGAGCATATTATACAATTTCATTAATTTTATTGACTTTCTAAGTTAATCATAAAAATTGTAAAAATAAAGCACTTCAATGTCATAGGAGGCAAAGAATCCTATTACCCCCATCCATTAGTAGTTAGCACACAGTATTTGTAAAATTTTAAAACTGGCCTTCACTGGAGCATCTTAAACTATAAAATATTAAAAACAGGGCACGTATACTAAGGATTTTATTTTTTATGTTTAAGGCACATAGCGAAGACGCTTTTATATATACAGTAGAGAAAAAGAAATTAGCGAAGTGCTGATTTAAGCATAAAAAAAAAAGGGCTTAATAGATTTAATATCTTTAAATTATTAAAACATCTAAAAAATTAAAATTTTCTGTCAGTTCAAAATCATGGGTTAATCACGAAATAACTTCTCTGAATATCACGACACCTTGATTTAAATTAGTAAAGAAGAAAAAGAGGAAAAATATATTGTAAGGGTGCTGACGTTACTGTCAGCTAGATTCCAAAGTAAACTATTTCCATCTGTCATAGTTTAGGCCGACTAAATCTTTTGTTCTTATATTAATATTTAATTAATGCTCCTGAATTATATATAATAAAGGGAAGGATAGGAGCTAAAACTCTTTTAATTACTTTGTACTTTACTGAAAGGTGTTACCAAAACACCATATTTATTTTTTTAATCTTCATTTATGAAGTTGTCGTTCTACAGTTAAGGATATATGTCCTTTTTTTCACTGCTTAACCCCCATATGCTCTTTAGTGAAGAACCGGAGAGTAAACTCCTGAGAACGGAAAGTTTACCTTAAATCCTTTAAAGGGCAAAACTCTAGGGCTTAAAATAGATTTGTTTTTTTCTGCGAAATCACTTCCTATGTTGAAACTATACTTAAAAGTCCAATATTTTTTTTTAAAATTTGATTCTATATACCTCAATTAAAAATATCTCAAAATGAACAGTAAATCAAATGTTTACTTGCCTATCTAACCAAAAAAAAACCTTACCTCCAGTAATAGACACTTTTTTTGTCCAATAAAGAGATCGCGCAATTCGTGCTTAACATAACGTTCAGTGGTAACTGAATTTACCACTGTCGTTTAGGGTCAGTTTTCATAGACTCACTCCTCTTGCTAGGCTATAAGTGGTAAACATAGTAACCAGTAACTTATACAGGGATAACGGTCATCTAGCATAGAGTACATTACTTACATATTTTATTTACTACTTATTAAAATTATCATTAATTATTATTTTTACTATTAAAGTTATTATTACTATTATATTATTAATATTATTGGGCGTAAGGGGTTGTATTTTTTTAATGTTCAGTTTCTGATAATTGGGAAGAACCAAAAGGTGCTTAGGTAGCCTACATTTGGTTATAACACAGTAAGTTATTGTCGTAGATAGCAATTTGTCAAAGTGAGCACCGGTCTGCTCAAAGCATTTTTCTGCGTTGTTCTAATCATTTCCGTAATAAATTTAATCTCCCTAACAATTATTTTAAATCAGCTTATTTAACTTCCTCTTTTTAAAAAGTAGGTGGTTTAGTACATTGCTAATAGTTTTTAATTTGTTAGTTACGTAGTCCCAAAGAGCACCCCGCTTGAACTAATGGTCAATAACCACTCTAAGATACTTAAACTGCAAGAATCAGAGGAGATCATTATCAAATAAATTGTAAGTTGTTCACCGGGCGATGTTTCCTTTCACCCGAGACCAGTAGGGCATTGCATTTTGCGGTTAAGTTTAAAATTATAAGATGTGAACCACCTTCAAGGAGGGGTCTAAATATAATTGCATATTTTTTGTGGCCCACGGAACTGAATTTATTATTTGTATAGATTGCAGTGCCATTAGCGTACTGCGCAAGGGGAAACAGGGTCGGCTGTTGGAGTATATCAGAAGTGAAGATGGAAAAAATAGAGAAGATAAAAGAAAGCCCTTTGGACCCTACAAAAAGGGAGTACGGATTGGAATCTAACCTTTGCCCTAACCCTCAGGTACAAAGAATAATAACGCTCGCTGGTCAGTTTCAGAATTAATCCTTTGTGGCATATGTTATCAAAAGCGCCTTCAACATTTTAGAATACAAGTATTAACGCTATTTAACGGGCTCATAAAACCTCAAGATCGGTTGAGTAGTGGAAAGGTTATTATACAATGACAAAATTAAATAATTTTTGAGCTCATGATTATTTGAGCAAAATTTTCATATTATATAAACTTTACAACTAAAAAGTCATTTATGAAATTAAAAGAAAAGTGACTGCATATTGTTAATAACATTAAAATATAATGTTAACCATCGAAGGAAGTAATAATAATTTTAAATCTATAACTTTTTGTAAATTTCTCATTAAACTCCTATACAAAGTAAATTATAGGTTTTCATTACCAGGAAACAGCTAATTGGGGTAGTATATCGGAAAATATAGCTCTTTCGGCTATTTTAGGGCTATTATTGGATAGATAGTTATGTCATGCTTATGCTGCTTCTCTTGAATATTTTATTTAAAAAGCTTTAAAAAGTTATTTCGCTAAGATTGAAAAAAATTGATGTTAAAAAATTAACGTTATACCTTTTAATTTAACAACCCACGACACCACATATACTGCGTCTGAAGCCATCGAAGATTTACTAAGGGGAGGTAGGAAAACTAGTGTTAGTCAACTTAAAAAAGACTTTATATGAGGTATGACAAACTTCCTGAGAGCGTTAAAACAAGAAACCACGAAAGCATCCTAACTAATTAAAGGTAAACTATATACTATGTAGCGTGCATGGAGTACCTTAAGGCCCTTTGCTTTCATCCGTACCCTTTTTGGTATATGGTAGACCTCTGAGCCCTTAAAAATATAACGGTGTTATCCGCTGGATGTTGTCCTATTTAGCTCAATTTATAATTCATTAAGCCCCAAAAGTGTTACAAAAGCTGGCAGTTAAAAATTTTAAAAAAAAGGTATTTGTTTATCTCTTTACAAGAAAAAAATAGTACAATGCAATCTATGAAAGATTAATGACAAATGATTGTAGGCAACATACATACATATAAAAGTAGTGTACCAAGAAAAAAAAAAATTGATCGCGACTCTATATTCTTGCTTTTTAACCTTAAAAAAAAGTATAATTTTAAAAATTTGATATATCAAATGGTTACACTGCCTATACAATCTCCTGTAAAGCCTTATACTCCTCTACTTCAACGAGAGCACAAAAGTATTCATATAAACTATTGCAACTTTTCATTAACGCTCCTGGTATATATCTTAATTATTATAGCTATATAAGAGTTATGCTTATATGTTGCCCCATGGCAACCTTAGTAAATTACAAATGAATTACGTTACTACATAGTGTATCTGGACTAAGCGCTCTCTCTATAATCTAAATGGTCTTAAGCATGATAGTAAATTAATAACCTATTAAAATAGGTAACTACAGGAGATACCGCGTCAAATCTTTAAAAAAAAGAGTCTGTGAAGAAAATTAGAGAAACTCTTGAAAACCATGATAATTTTGCAGGATAATGACCAGAAATTTATAGCTTTTGTTTGTTTTCATGTCAATATGAAAGAGTAACCACGCTAGTGGAATTTTTAAAACCTCCTTTTCGTTTACCCCTTTTGCCATTAACCTTAAACGGTCTTTTTGTGCATCGCTCCATGGTAAGATTACAGTGGTGCTCCGGGGGTAAGTCTTTACGAAATAAAGGGCTTTGCACCAATTTCTCGCGTAAGGTAGTCATTAACAAACTGCTGTATAGTCAAGAACAGCACGAAGTAACCGCTTTTGGCACTCGTTGCAGTCATTTGTTATCTGCAAAGAAGCTTTTGAACGTTGCAAATCCCCCCCCCTAACCTACACGCATAGATAATGTAATCGCGTAAATCACTTAGAGGAGACCACTTGACTATATTGGAAACCCGCTAAGCGAGGATATTCCGGTTAAAGATAATAGCGGAAAGAATCCAGTACAACTTTAGCATGTTTTAACAGGAGCGCAACCAGTGGCGTTCCGTGTCTGATGCAGATTATGTCGAGGGGGGGGGGATCCGTCGAAAGTAACAGAGGAAATGCATTACTCTGCATTAGATAAACGAATCTAGATGCGCTTGCTTCCATCTTCGGACAACTCTTCGAGAGGTAAGAAACCTAAGAACCACAAGTGATTTTTATATTCAAAATTGCAACCTTGGGCAAGGAGGAAAGAAGAGCTGCTGCACTTGCTTAGAAGAGCAATTTATTAGGCACGGCTGGTACTGTTCAACTGCGTAAGTACCACCCCTGACAAGAGCATTGCTCCCGAGAGGCGGTCACCACCACCTCTTCCCCGCCCTAAACCTCACTACTGCACTAAATTGCCCTCTATTCTCTTTTGGCTGTAGAAAATTTATTGCAAACATGCTACTTAAAAGGGTCGAGTTGAAAACCCGAATGAGAGATACCCACATGGTCGAACAATCATACAAGTATTATAAATTATTTAAAGCATCTTTCCTGGGCTATCAAAACATCGTACTTTCCGAAAAAAACCGAACCTATAGTTATAATTTAGTAGACCTACTTTCAGTAGTCTCTAATGGCGGACTTTGCACTTCAATTGTCGATGGAAATGGTTCGGGTTGGTTTGCCATCCTAGGATAGACGGCAGGTTCTATGTCGTCATGGACTGGCCAAGTGCTGTTATTTTATACTCCGGCGCCTTCATGTAGTACTTACTTGACGATAACATTATTGAATTAGTAGCCTTATCCAATAGCATACTAGAGGCCGTTATGCTAATAAGAAACAAACACCAAGTTTAAGAGCCGACTAGAGCGCGTCACTGCCGATAGCGATAAATGCGTTTAGTCATCATTGGATGGCTTACCTATTTTGGTTTATGGGCTTCCGAGGCAAAAAGGCACTCAGCCCCGACTACATAACCAAAGAAGATGCTAAAAAAGGTTACCGCTCGCGAGCTTTCTTAGCTGACTTGCAAACTCTGTGCTGTTATTTGGCTATATTTTGATGTTAAAAATAAATTACTATTATGATGCTGTTGGAGACAACGAGCCATAATATTTTCTTGAACCCAGCCGTCCATCTTAGCTGTTGTGGCAGGTCGGTTAATAGAGGAGCGTGTTGGTCGAAACTCGAATTATTAGTATGCTTTACTCACAAAGTATCTATGCACCTGCAGCTCCTCGCTTTCGTTAAGAGATTAACTTGCGGTTTCAACTTTAAATAAACGTTGGCATATTTTTTATAAATGTAGAGGGCCTTTAGTTTCGTTTAACACGTAGACTCCTATGCAAGCTGCGTATTCTGGGTGTCTCACAAACCCTACAAAATCGGTCTCAAGTGGTTCGTAGGTGACCGTAGCTTTAGCATTCATATCAGCACTCTGCTATTACAGGCCGGAATGGCTCGGAGATTCAGGTGGCCCCTGTTCACTATTTATTAATATCAGTCCAGAGAGAATAAACACACTCAAACCGCAATTAGTAACGACACAGAAACGGGAGTTAAAAATCAGCGGTAATAAGCAAAGCACTTTTCGTTCATAGAATTTCACTATGGTTGCCTGTGTCCCTTCGCGGTCAGGTGAAAAGTTGCTTCGTCCTATCAGGTTTAAGAGGTGTCGCCGTATTTTAGTGGTTAAGAGGATATACGTTCGGGGTTGTGGATTCATTTTTACCGGCACAGTTCTCTTTTTCGGTCTTCAATGTCTCAGTACTTAATCCCTCCCCCCTCCCCCCCACAAAGAGCTTTATTGAGTGCAAAATGCCGTGAGGCAATGTCGCGCATATAGTTGTAACGAAAAATAAAGCATAAAAGACAAGTGCTTTACCTACTATAGTGCGCTCAACCATTGCGATTTTTAAAATTAACCCGCTATATAAAGTTTAAGGAATTTTTGTTATTAACGCTCACCGAAAGTAAGAGCCCAGCCTATAGCGAAACTCGCCATACGTAAACTGGGTTCTTAAATCTATCAATATAAAATATGGTTACTAATTAGTTTAGCTTCAATAAGAAGTTTACTAACTGCTGCCTACTTCTTTTAGAAAAATACTTATGACGAAAAGGAAAAATAACAAAATGGGTTTATTTAGCTTCGCTGGCTACACAAATTAAGTACATAGTATAAGAGTAACTAGTTTCCTTTGCAGTAGGAAGACCCAAAACAAAAAGTATACAATTGATTAATTAATGTTTAACAGATGCCGGCCCGTCTTACGCGGTGAACAAAGGGTAGGGACGTAATGAACGCTGCCGACAGGTGCAATTCTCTAATTGACCCTGGTAATAAGCATTTATTTTCTGAGCCAAAATCCTTTTTTCTGCTTTAAATTGAGCTTGAAAAAGTTCTTGCTGCTGTCTGTTGTGCTCTAACACTTTGCTTTTCATCAACAGTAGGAGTTGCTCGTACTGTTGCTGAAAGCACCGCTTCTCGCTTCTTTGAAAGCGCTCTATTTTTTCACTTACGTAGCATATGTACGCTTCCTTTCTTTTTTGAATAAAGTCCAAATCTGTCTTTCTCAGAAAGGTAAACCCTGCCTCGCTTGCCCAAGTCGAATCTTCACAATTGTTGAAGGTCGGTTGATGCCCGCTGGCAAACATAGCCTCGCAGGTCTCCTTGACCACATGTTCAATCCATCCTTGTGCATAGTGCCTTTGCTCTTCTTTAAGAATATTAACGAGGTTATTAAGTTTAAAGATATCTTTTTCTTTTAGCTGTAAAACATCATTCATTTTTCTAAGACTTTCTTTGCACCGGGAAATTTCCCGATGTAACGAATCGTCTAATAATCTACTAGAGGCTAGATATTCACCAGAATTTTCTTTATTAGCTCCCACTTCTTTTTGCCCGATGTCTAAGTTTCCAGCTTCCTTTTTTTTGAAGTTAACGACCTTTTCAATAAACGCATATAATTCTTTCTTAGTAGTTTCTTCGAAATGGTCGAATTCGGCTGCCGTCTTCTCAAAATAATTTGTAGACTCCATTAAACTTCCCGACCTTTTCTCCAAAAAGTATCTAGAAGATTCTTCCAAGAGTACGCGCAAAAACTTTTTGAACGAATCGGGCCAACATTCGACTAAGAAGCATACATCCTCTTTTTCTGGACGCAGACCTTCAAGGGTGTTCGTTCGTTCCTTCTCTTGTAAAATCTTATTTTTTTCTTCCAATAAATGCTGGAGTTGTGCCTTTTCGGACAATAATTTTTTATTCAACAATGTGAGTGATTCTAGTTGCGCTAAACTTTCTTCATTGACCTTTTCTACTTGCGCCTTTTCTGTTGCAAGCTTTTCTCGCTGAGTGCATTCACTCTCGAGCGTCTCCTTTAACGAGGTTATTTCGTGGTCTTTCTTCTCTCTTAGGCTATCGTATCTCATCTTAAGCTCTTCTAAGCAGGTGGTCACACGAGTTAACTCTGCTTCGCGAGAGCGTATCCCCGCTAATATTTCATCCTTCTTTTTCTTTAACTCCTCCAATATGTTTTTCCACGTAAACTCGCTCTCTGTTCTTCTTTCAAGGAGTGGTGATGTCTGAGCCTCGTTAATAAAGCTCTTAAGTAACATTAGCGCCTCTTCCTTAACGGCCTCCAAATGTTCTATGAAATCGTTGAGGCTTTTATTAGTATAAAGTAGTTCAGCGTTTTCCTTTTTAAGAGCGTCCAAAAGGGCATCTTTCAGGCCTACATCGTTTTTCAGGTCCTGAAAGTTATTCATTACGTCTTCAAGTTCCTTTTCCTTAGCTAAAAACTGCTCCATTAAAGCGCTCTCGCGAGTTTGAAGGCGCTCTTTGGCTTTATGTATGTACGTTTTCAGAGCTTCTATGTTTATATCATTTCTTTCATTGCTCTTTTTATATAAAATTAAAATGGCCTTTAATAACATTAATGAAAAAAAAATCACCCAAATCCGTGGGCAAACTCCAGCAACGAGGTCTCCACTAGCGCAGTCAAAAGTTGTCAGAAGGTCCTTAACGGCTATTTCAATTTTCTGAAAGTCGGCGAGATTTTTTTCCTGATCTTTAAAAACGAACGTTAACACAAAGACAAGTAGCGGTTTTGCTCGTGTTAAGCGCGTTTCAATGAACGCGTAGTATGGACGTATCGTGTAGGTTCAGCACAATGATACTATATGTTAGTGTAGTTATTAAATAAATTGTCAAACAGGTTTCAAATGGAAGTTTATTTACGACTTTGATAAAGTAATACGTGAAGCACGCGATGTATAATTAATTATACATATTGAAAAGTAACACTATTTATAAAGCGCCTCTAGAAAGATACTAAGACTAATGCAGTAGAATTTATTAAATATTTTTACTAATAGTCATTATTTATCTAGTATTATTAAATTTGCTAATTATGGAGTCCCAAAGAATAATTTATTCGTAACAGTTTCTGGCAACAGGCGTAAGAATTCTTAACTTTTTTAAACTAGTTTTTTCCACAAAAACTAGAAACCTACAATCGCTTTCATTAAAAAATAAACAGAATTATTACAAAGTTGCAATGTGCAAGATTCCCTTTCCACGCGAGATTCCCACTCCGAAACTTTTTCTCGAAGGCACGTTTTCTCCTTAAATAGTGTTGACTTTTTAAAGAAAGAATAATGAGCAAAGGCAAATTACCTTCTGCAGAGACAACACTTGATCTCTGCACTCGGAAAGTTCACTAAGTACAGATTCCAACTGTTTCTTCAAATTGTCTACAGACATAACAATAACAAAAACTTTATATAACATTCAGTAATAATAAAACCATTTTGCTCGCACTGCTGCTCGTTAAGATATCTTTCTTCGGAATGGCGCACAACTTCCGTTTTAAGCCGCAAATTTTCTTCTTTTAGAGCATGCAGTTCCTAAAACATAGTTTTGAATTATGTCAAAATTGTAAAAGTAAAACAACTTACTGTTTGATTGCTCCGCAAAGATTCGTTTTTTAAAGACAATTGAGTTTCCAACTATTTTATATAATTTCCCTTATTATACAAAGACAATAGTCAAATTATAAATTATAATTACCCTTTCAATAACTAAATTACTTTCCTTAATTCTCTGTTCTAGCGCCGAAGAGCCAGAGCTTTCGAAATGATCCTGCTCGAGCTCAGCTATGTACTTTTCACGAGCGAGTAACTGTAACAATAAGTAGAAAAAGTAAAGATGGTGGGAATAACTATATAAAAGTGTCTGCCTGTTCCTTTAATCTTATTCTATCTTTATAAGAGCCATCTGCTAAGTTAGAAATTTGTCGCGATAAATCGCGGTAGACGTCCCTTAGCCTAGAATAAGACTCGAAGCAGGACGCACACAGTGAGGCTGTAATAATATAAACTGCGAAGGCTCATGAAATTACCTCCGTACAATCTTTGGAATAAAGCTCTCCGCTTTCGACCAAATCTTTTTTTAACTGTTGAAGAATTTTTGTCAATACTTCGTTTTCTTCAATTACGTATATTTAGCTTCTTTCAAAGCTAAGAGAAACTTGAAAAGTAACCTTGTTCACATGAAATGGCTGTAGCTTTAGAACACTCACACTCATCGCCATAATCATTTTTTGAAGCTTCAAAATTCAAGTCTTTTTCACTTCTAGGCGAAGTTACTTGAACAACGTTACTGATAACCGGGCTGGTTATTGAGTTTGTGGTTAAACCAAAATTATTTTCATAAACGGTTTCCACCAAAACCTCGTCTTCCTTAATAAAAGCAGTGGTTTGTGTGCTACCCACTGGCTCATCTTTGCTCCAGATAGTAATATTTTTTGTGCTATTTTGAAGGCAAGAAATTGTGTTATGAATAAATTGTTTGCTGGGCTCCTTTCTATTAATATCAGTCAGGTTGAAAGGTTGATCAAAAGGAGTTTCCAAGTGCTCGCTTAGACTGGATAAGTCGAGACTTTGAGCACCCAAGTTTTCGCTAATCATATTAACACTGAAATTGCTACTAAGTGAATTTTCTTTGGAAGAACTTTTTTCAAAACAGTCAGTAATATTGGAGGCTTCAAACTTCTCACTTTCTTGAAGAGTCAAGTTGACAGTATTTTCTTTACTTAAAATTTTCTCTGTAATGGGCATTAAAGGCTGACTTGATAAATCTTGAGATATATTACCAAAAAAATAATTGCCCGAACTAGTATCAAGATTACTACGTTCGACTTCAAAAGGGGGTTCGGAATCTAATAAAGAGTCTTTTACTTCACATAACTGTACTTTCCCTAAATACAAGTGACGGTCAGACTTAGTATAAAGCTTTTGCTCTCTAGTCCTCAATTTTTGAAAACATTTTATAGAGTTTTCATCTTCAGACTCTGGCAGTTGCATAAAAGAGGCGCCTAGCTGGGCATCTAGTAGTTCTTCTAACTCCAAGTTGCATTCTTCATCACCACTCTTGTTGTCAACAAAAATTAAACCGCTTAAGTTAACTTCGTCAGGGAAAGAAACAAAACCTTTTTGCAACTTTGTAGACATAGAGTAATAAATTTCAAATTTCAAAAGTTAACTAGATAAATCTTAAAGATGTAAAACACACAAGGCTAACTACTCCGCTATTCAGGAAACCTTTGAGTTCTTGTCAATTACCACCATATATGTGTGTAGAGGAGGGACAAGTAACTACAAGATATTAGACGCCGATATCTTTCTGCCCCTATGGATGGCCGTCCACTCGACGATGTGTGTCGAGTACAAACATCGCCTCAGTCCGCTCTTAGAGGCTGTTAGCCAAAGTTAAGGTATTTTTCTTACTGTAAAGCGAGACGGGTATTTTTAAGTCGCGCGTACCACTTTTTGCCTTAATTAAGTCGACAAATTTGGTGTCTCCTCGCATTGGGAAGAACTGCATATTACGTTAGTGCACCTCTAATATTAGGAACTTCCGCATTTATTAGATTATTTCTTCTATCCAAGTTAGTCTTTAGTGATAATTGTAGGGAGTAAAGTATTGACGTACTTAAAACATATTATATTAGCCAGCGCATAATACTATATTTGCTATAAGCCCATATATTATTTATTTTCTATGAGCAGCAATAAAGAAACAATTTATAGCAGGGCACTCTCTCACTATTTTACTCTCACTTTTTAGCTGTGTGTCGTTCTTTCTATTATTTGAAGTATGAAGTCTGAAGAATGATTGCTGGCAACAGGCTTTCGGCCAAATCTATTCGTTAAAAGTAACAAGTAATTCCTTTAAGAGGTAGCGAGCTTATTTTAAAAAACGTTTTCTTTTATTCCAAATATCCCTTTTTAAGCTTAAGTAATTACACTGGAAAAGCTTATATTCGTCGAGAAGAAGCTCTTCTGCCTCCCGCTGTGCGGAAACCGAGAACTAAAAATTAATTGTGCTGCAAGGGGTAAAGCATGTTTAATTTGCACAAAGCCTCATACAACAAGAAATTATATAAAGTTGAGGCAGTTTAGTCCTATTTTTTTTTTATAAAGGAAGCCTTCCACTAAAGCACCGTGGCTAACAGCATGATAGAAGACGCCGGATGTTATACTCATTCTAACCGTTCTTCCAAATGAAAAATTTTCAGAAAGATTAAGCAAAGAGCTCGTAGGGTAGCCTTAATAACAATTGTTAACTGCTAAGGTTTAAAGTACATAATTAAATAAATATATATAATAAAAGTATGAATAAATGGTGTTAATAATAAAGAAGAAAAGATAAAGATAACGATATAATAAAGAGAAAATAGACTACCGAAAAAGAGGGCCTTTTTCTCGACTTTATACGGTCAATTTATTTTTTAAAGCTACGAAATATTATATTGCTAAGGGGTCGATAAGTTCAGTATTATTATTTTTTAATTATATTTCTATAACGATTGAAATTTTTTCATATAAACTTAGTGTTTTTTAATCGTTCTTCATTTAATATAGCTTAGTTTTATATCATATTACCTATACAAGGAGATATTTGTTCAGTTGACTTGGGCGCTTTATTTTGCGATACACTGGTATACAAGCTAGTGAAAGTAAATTTACGTCCAAAAAGTTGGTAATTTTAGGCAGTAGTTTAGTAAGTTCGTATATCTACGAGGGTGGAGCGATATATTCTAGGCCTAAACGGGAAAACAAATATTTTTTGGGTTTAATTTATCTTTCAACATAATCTCCTTTGGCCTGATGGACTTATTCCAACGATGTTATAAAGCCGTTACGCCAAACTAATACGTTGATTTGTCCGAGGTTCTCAAAATAGTCGTTTACAGCGTCGATGACTTTCGGGTCGCAAATCTTTTTCCACCAAGCCGCTTTAAGAGGTTTGAAAACAGATGCAAGTGGCACGAGACAGTATGGTGGGTGGCGATACAATTCAAACTTTAATTAATGGGTTTTAGCCATTGCAACTAATGCATTGTCTTGATGAAACACTATTTCTTCTGTCCTTTAAATCTCTTCGTAAAATTTTCCCAGTAAGTGCGCGTAACACTCCCCTTGGTTATTTTTCCCTTTGGGGAATAATCAAAAATTATCCTACGCATAACTTGGTTAGCCGTTGCAACTATATTTTCCTTCCTTGAACTGGCTCTCCTTTTGCGGTACATCATTTCTGCTGTGGTTTGGTCTCAGGAGTATAGTGAGGGAACCACGTCTCATCTCATCAATAGTTATGATTCGACGTAAAAACTTGATCTTATGGCTCTTATAAAAAGCCAAATATTCGGTTAAAATTTTCTTTCAACTTTGTTTTAATCAGGTGTCAGCAAACGCGGCGACCATCTTGCGTAAAGCTTTTTTATAATTAGATTTTCGGGTAATATATTAAGTACTCGTTCCGTTAACAAAAAGCTTACAGTCTACGCTTTCTCTCACTATTACTCTGCTATCGGTTAAAACGATTTTATGGATTTTTTGCACCTCTTGCGTAGTTACTTTAATGGGTTGTCCATGGCGCGGTTCGTTATTGGTGCTTTCCGACCCATTTTAATTCAGCACCCAGCGTTTAACGCATTCGATGAAGGAGTCCTCAGTTGCAGTTAGATCCTTCAAAAAAATATTTTTACTTATCGCACGCATTTCAAATTATTTCATTGTACTATAATTGCTTGAGGCGCTTGTTTGACGGACTGCTGTCAAGACAATACACGATATATTTACTTGGAACTTCTAAGATAACCCAATAAGGGATATGTATTTTTTGAAAAATAAAATTATCATCGCGAAATCGGAAGATAACCAATCAGCGGTATATGATCAGTTTATCAACGCATATTTATATTATTGGTGGGAGTTGAATTTATAGGTATATTGTATTGTAGTAGTGCTGAAGCATATTTTGCCCATCGGAAGTTATCTCTATAACAATAACATATCAGTAATCTCGAAGCACTCGTTCTTTTCAATTTCTTAATAATTTTCCCATATGCCTTCTTTCAAATCTCTTTCTTTCATTTAGTAGTTACGAAAATTTATTAAGCTTATACTTAACGCCCACCCCTTATTTTTTCATGATGAACAAAGCTATTGTTAGCGAAAATCGATTACTCGATTCTTCTAACATAGATGACAATCTTCAGGCCCTTAAGCGTATAACTACGGTATTATTAACAAGACAGTGTTTTCATTATTTTAAACACTGCATTTGAATTACAGCTTATGTCTTCAGGAGTCGACGTGAGTTGTTTTTTTCCTTTCGTTGTAAAGAAGATCGTTTCGGATTGCCTTGAAGTAAAAAGACTTGTATATTTATACATCTTAAGGTATTATTTATTGACAAATTTTATAAAAGTTTTTTTTATACTCTTTAGCTTATCTTTAGCTTTTCTTCCTTTAGATATGCAGAAAAGGAAGCGGAATTGATTTTAATGTCTGTCAATACTTTTCAGAAAGATATAAAGGTATTTAATTTTACTTAACATTCATAATTTTGTAAAGCTTTTGCCTAAAGGTTTCTTAAATTTAATACATATTACATGGTAGCTCTTACTTTAAATCCTTTTATTATTTTAACTAAAAAGATTTTCATTAAAAAAAATAACCTTTTAGTAAAAATATAATAAAAATATAACTTTTTCAACTTTTTTATACACCACTAATAAATTTTTAGACTTTTGTATGACTAATCGTATTCAAACTCATAACAAAATCCAAGCACACCGATCCTTTTATACGAGCCAACGCTTTGCGTGCGCTGACAGGCATTCGCCTTAAGCTTCTTGCACCTATTATGCTTACAGCTGTACAGGTTTCCTGCCTCTTGTATTTTTTTTATTTTTCGATCAATCATAAGAATTTATTGCCCTTACTGAGCTATTAATCCAACGGCTTAGCAGCGTTAATTAATAATATATATTTTATGTTAGGCGGTTGATTTTTTTACTAACCAATTCCCTTTATATTAAATATATGATAATAATAATTATTTCTTTCTAGTACAAATGTTTATAGAGTCCAGAAGTTTTCTCTTCTTATTAACTTTTTGCTATAAACTTTCTTGTTATTATTAATATAGATTTGTATAGTAATAATTATTTTATTGTTATAAATAATTTACTACCAATAAACTTCTCTTTAAAGATTTTATTGCTTTGTATTTATATATAATCACTGAAGGGTTCCGCCCGCGATTTTTTCCCTTACGTAAGAAAAATCACGGCGCACGCTCTTCTGAAAATTTATGCGCTGGATGCAACCTTAAAAGATTCCTTGATTGAAATTTTAATTCAGCTTCTACACGATCGTTCGTTGATTGTACTAGGAGGCTCCTTATTGGCCTTTCAAAATATTGTATCGGCTTCTATTTTTTATTATATATAAAAATGAGCAACGTATAAAAGGACGTTTAAAAAAAAGGAGAACTTTTTTTTTGAGTTATTAATTTCTACTTGTAATAAAGAATTTTTTCTTAGCTATAAATAATTCAATTAATTACGGTCAAGTCAACTTTTTAGCGGAGAGTTTTTTTTTTAACGATTAGAAAAAAGGCTATTCTGTAAAGGGTGCTTTGCTACTAGTGCCCCGAAAGACACGACTTACTGCACGCCCACTACCGTACGATTGTGCGTCGAAGCGTGGATTTCGACGAGTGGAGCCAACTTATTGCTCTTCAGCTGTTGACTCAGTATGGAAGGTCTTCATACACCTGCAAAGTTTATAACATCGTTGATTTCCCTTTAATTTAGTAACTTGAATTTTTTTAAAAATTTACTTTAAAAAAAGTATACTTAGATTTCTATGAGCTTTTTAGCGCTTGCATCCTTGGCTTCTTATATTCTCCTTTCTGCTTTCTTTTGTTATAAAGAACTATACTTTCTAATTTTTCTCTGCAGTGATTGCCGTTATTACATAATAAAAAATATTTTTCTGTCCATCAGAAAACTTTAAACCACTTAATAACGAAATCTTAACTCATAAATAAGAGTGCAATTTGCCAATCCCAACCGAGACGGCAAAAGTTTTGATAATAGTAGCTCTGAGGGAAGCGTGGCAACTTTGAAAGCTTTAGATCCTGATCACAAGTGGAATATGCATCTAATTATAAAAGTGTTGATAATAACCATCATCATCAATAGACTGCTTCTTGAGTGTATGCACAATTTATTTTACAGCAGAAACGGAGCGGTACGAAAAGAAGAGGAATAATGACTAAATGCTAATATTTAAATGACCTTCAGGTAGTTCTAGAAGTCTGCAAACTTTACTATTATCTCGCTCCGTACAGCGAGTTTAGTCAAATTGGCCGGGCGATGTGCAGATTCGTGGCTTCCCGCAAGGAAATATCGTATTCTTTTCTGCTCAATATAGAAACGATGAGGTACTTCTTTAGATATCCTTTTCTATTGGAGTAACTCTTTTTTGAAAATACTAATAGTAAACGCCATCCGGAAATTTTTACCCCGCATCTCCAATCGTTTCTTGTATATACGAGTGATCCCCTTCAAATAAAGTTGACTAAAATTTCTATTTTGCTGAACTTGCTTAACGACTCCAACGTTTCCATTCTGTTTAACGAGCTAAAAGTAAAGTTTTCTTATCTTATATTTTTTCTTTATTTCTCTATTCTTTTTTAGATGTACTCCACCAACGAGAATCCGAAACTGTGCGAGGCGGGTGTTCAGGGACTGGTCTATTGCGTCTCACTTTTTCCTAAATATTACAAACTTTGCCTTAAAAGCCTTTTCCGGCTGATCACCTCGAAAAAAGGCATTGATTAGTATACGATTAACGCGTATTTAATTTCAAGTGATGTCTGTATTATTTGCTTATACTTGAATGTTATAGTTGGAGAAATTTTTTTTTGTTATTTTGTAGAGTACTTAATAGAGAAAGGCACTGTGGCGCTAAGAAACTTACTCCAAACAAGCCCCAAAGTCGATATGAGAATAGTTCGCTATTTGTCGAGAAAATATCTAAAAGGATCTATAAAAGTATGTTACTTATTCCTGCTCTGTAACCAGTAACAAACCTTCACAGAAACTTATTGGCTTTCACAGACCACCGAAGCGCAGCTGTCCGTTCTATGGCTCGTGGGGGAGTTCGCCTACAACGAGAATTGGGCGCTTCAAGTTTTGCAAACGGCCGTGAAAAACTACAAGAATTTGGTAGTGCGATACTATTATATTATTTTTTGTTATGGTAGAATATTTTTATTTTGCAAAGTAGGATGATGAGGTAAAGCTTCAGGTATTGAATTTTGTTTCAAAGTTACATGTGGCCAACGTGGAGAGCAGCGCTGAGTATCTCGAGTATATATTTTTCTTAGCCAAAGTATGGTGCGTATCTATAAGTATAGCAACAAGTATACTGATTCCCACTTTTTGTAGAATGATCAGAATACTGATATTCGGGAAAGAACATGCTTTCTTAGTTCGCTGCTGGTAGGCTCTCTGATAAGCGCTGCGGAGGTCCATAAGGTGCTGCTAAGTAGAAAGTCGGTTTGTTTCCCGAAAGTTCCATCTTGTTAGTCTTTAAACATTATATTTCGTGTAACCCCCTCCTCTCTCATTCCTGATAAGCCACCAATCGGGACCTTGTGCTCGGGACTCTTTCCCATTTGCTGAAGCGGAAAGTGTGTGGATACCGGGAACTGCCTAAGTTTTCTCCTACCGCCGGCGGCTCTTCCCTTCGCGAAGTGAAGCGCTCGTTTGCTTGTTTTTCTTTTAATTAATATTTATAAAAGCAGGAAGTGCGTGCGGTTGAAAATCCTCTGCAAGAAGAAAAAGTCTTATCTTCTGCATATTTATTAAGCAGCAATCAACATGAACTTGACTCGGTTGAGGAAAATTTTTATTTGGGCATATCTTCCGAAGAAACTAGAAGTGATTCGTCCGCTTCAGAAAACTCAGAGCCCATTGATTATTCTTCGGCGGACAGCTCCCCCACGGAGCGGGAAAGCTAAACTTTTTTATATAGTTTACGAAGTTGTGTATAAAATAAAATAATTTTTTTTTTAACGCAAGGTTAAGATATGACCCAATGCTAATATAATAATAAATTTAAATCATTTATTAGAGTTATTCTTTAAGTAGAGTATAGGTTAAGGGGAGCCTTCACTTCCACTCCACGAATCTTCGTAATTAGTAGGACTAATGCTTGCCGTTACCGGTGCTTTGAGGAATAAATAATAGCAAGTAGTGTCTACAAAAACTCTACAGGAGGTGGATATACTCCTTCCTTCGTCGGAGGTGGGCGTCCACGCCAGAATCTTCCCGTCTGCTCCTCCTGAATACAATTCCTAAATTCCTTTTTTCAGAAAGTAACGGAGAGCGCTGAAAGTCAATACGGGAAGATATGGGTGGAACGCGAGAGCATTGACAGTCTCGTAATGACCCCTCAGCACGTGGACTAGCTCACCCGTGTGAATCTACGGAAACTTTCTTAAAGTTGCCTGGAAAAACTCAGCGACAAAAAAATTTTTTAAGATTCGTTATACCTCGTACACTTTTATAGTGGAGTGACATGGAACATATACAAGAGGCCTCGGAATTGTTAGAGAAACAGCTAAAGTCCGGGCTCGCCTGGCTCTTATGCCTGTTGAAATTTTTTTAAAATAAGATAAACGTAATAGTACTGCTGGAAGAGTCGCACAATACAGAATTATTATCGTAGAGAAATATAAATAGTAACAATTCAAAAAACGGACCAGGGAAGTTAATTAACTTATTAGTGCCTAAATAGTAGTTCCACACTTTCAGTTTTGAATCTGAGCCAATACTTAACAACTCAAAGCCGTCCGGCGTAAAGCAAAGTCCAGTGACGACACCCGCGTGTGCGCTTTCAACTTCGTAATTTGTTAATTATGAATTGGCGATGCCAAAGTGTTTGAAAAGGAACGGCTATACCCGCTTTTTTGATTCTCTTTGTGTCAAAAGTATTTGTTCTTTGCAGGTAATAAAGAGGTTTTATAGTCTTTCTAACATCCCAAACCATAATCATCTCGTCCGAACTGTTAATAGATAAGATAAAATAAAATTGTTACAAGAATATAAAAGTTTATAAAGTGAAGATGAAGCGTTCGAATAAGGAATCGCAAGTTTTTTTTTTTGGCCTAAGCAGTGGAAGCCGCGAACTTGGTGATACCCGGCCGATACGAGGTTGTACTGATCACGTGGAGACCACTTGACGTCGAAAACGCAAGAACTGTGGCCTGTAAAGAAAAAAGGGGGAGTCTTATAACGGGAGATCTCTAAAGAACCTTTTAATATGTGCACAGCCGTTCCGCTTTGCAGATCACAAAGCTTTACGTTGGGATCATCCGTTGCGGCTTCGTTTAAAATTTTATTATTTGTGATTCAGCTTTAATAATTTTTACCAGCAATTAAACTATGAAAAGTAGCGCAAGAAGACATGGCTTGCCCGTTTACTTTCCTTTCCATCTTAAAATCATAAACAGGCTAAAAAAAGGAAACTTTAAAGTATTTAAAAAACTTCGAGTAGTTCAAAGTTTATAAACTGGTAAGAATTATTAGTAGAATAGAAATAAATTTCGTACAAGCATTTTGTTAGTGTCCCAAACTTTGATGCACTTATCAAAACCCGAACTTATGAAAATTCCAGTATCGAAAGGGAACCAAACAACGCAAGAAATAGCACACTGGTGGGTATTCCTCGTTGCGTCTCTTTAAAAAAAAAGTTTCTCTAGAATTTCGCTGTGAAACAAACCTAGTCACCTGGCGGCCTCACATATGGGTTTAAGCTCTACGCTAGAACTCGAATCACTTGGAAAAGTGGGGAAATTCATTAAATCAAATATCGCAATTTTGCCTTCGCCTTATAAAAAAGAAAACTTTATAGGAATTAAAAATTATAAAATAAATTTACTTGATAAAGGGGGGAATATACTGATGCAGTGTTATATATATAGCTTTGAAAATTGAGGTAGAATCATATTCAGATATATATATTAATTACTCTTGTGAATAAGATAACTAGTAAGGCTGACTAGTAAAACTAGATTATTTTTTCTTTAGAAAAGTTTTAGAAAAGTTTTACAAATCAGGTTAAACTTATTAACAGCGACACTGATAAAAAAGAGAATAATATGCTAACGCGTACGAGTACATTATAATTTATTATTAGAAAAACCGCTTTTTTATTTCAGGCAGTAATAATTAAAGAGAAAAATTATATTAGTTTTTTGAGAATAAAGTTAATATTCAAAAAGTAACTTTTACTAGAGATAAAAAGTCATTATCTGAACTTAAAATTGATATTGTTTCTACGAAAAAAAAGCTAACTTATTTAAACAAACTTTTACAAAAGTAGCATATCTTTTAAATATATAAAAAAAAATAGTGAAGAAAAGCCGAGATGGTGTTAAGTTGTATTAAAGCCCATTATAAATAATTAAATTAAAACAGATTTAAACGCGTTCAAGATGTTGTCAAAGGTACCTCCTCCTGATAAAAGGTAGCGTTTTTCACTAGTGTCGATAGAGAGAGAATTTACAGAAGGATGGTGGACTCGAGCAAAACTCTTATAGCAGGATAGATCTAGATCTATATATATATATATGATTAACGTTTGCTAACTTAATGAAGAAATTCGTCACAATAGGAATTTGAAAAAGTGTATGAAAAGTTAATAAGTACGTAAAAAACCATAAGTTTTCCTTATTGACTCACGAGTTATAAATGTTTGAGGACTGATCTGGCCTATTTCTCGAAGAAAGAGACTTTTGAGCATGATTAAAATCTCTCTAACTAAACTATTAAAAGGGCATTGAATTGCAGCACCAGCCGTCACGGAAACTAAAGGGTTTCAGTTACAAATATGAATTGCTACTTTAGTACCAAAATTAAAAATTACATCAGATTTTTGATTAGAATTGAAGGTTTTTTATTCACATATATACAACCGGTTCAGGGTCAGAAACTCTCTTAAATTATATTAAGATATTAAGTACTGCCTACTATTATTAATGTAGCTAGTGGGTATATAGTACTAAATAAGAAGGGTTATTTTCACTATATACGATTTCGTCGCAGTTTTGGGTTTCCTATTGGTATTTACTTTCGTTCTTACGCGGTTTGTTAGCCTAGTTTGCTTAGGGGTACCTCCTCTAGGTGGGAGATCTTCCCAGACACAATTTATCTATAGTTACAAAAATCGTAATATTACTTGTAACTAACGAGATATCTGGGAAAGTGAGCAAAAGTCTTGATTTTCTTTTAAAAAATTTGGAAGAGCTTTTATACTTTAGTGGGCTTCATAGCTTGCTAATACTTTAATGTTTGCAGATAATTTAGTAAGTCACTACTTACCTTATAAAACGGACAGTAACGCTTTAAGCAGTATATTGATAAGTTTAAACTTTTTACCTTTTCATCTTTTCTTTAACTGCTTCCCAAAATTTTATGTAATGTTCTATCTATTACCAATAAGAAATGGAAATGAATATAGGGTCAACTAGCCGTATGAAACTGCAGCAAAAGCTTTAGTTGTTACTTTAACTTGAAGGGTGGCCGTAATGGCTAGTGTTATCTTCTTAGGCTCTGGCTAAAGACTTTAAGGGGTTTGCCTGTAAGTAGGTTGCGTTAGTTTAAACGCTAGCTAGGCTTAATAATCCATTTCCTTATAATTTAGATAATTTTGTCGTATTAATACGAGGACCTTTTTTTTAGTTTCGTTAATCCCTTTTTATCCAATTTTGCAACCAACAAAGGAGTACAAAGAAAGACTATTAAACTAACTATATATTTTCCACCACGCCAAAAGGTGAATGCCCAATTTATAGAATTCCCAGTGAGACATGGGCCCGCAAACTATTGTAGTTGAAGGACGTGATGTTTCCAGCTTTACATCGTTAATGGATAGTTTTAAACAATGAACTGCATACCTCGAAGCGATGCCACGGTATGCTGGCCCTGAAGGGCGGAGGCTAACTGGGGGGCGGGGGCTTTAATGTATTTACTTTTGCACCTAAATACCATCTATATAAAGCAAATTCTTAAACTTGAATTTACTTCTAAACTAGAAATTTGTGCTTTTTAAATTGCATTACTAACATAGGGAGTATCTGAGAGCAGTATAAATAAAATACGGAGCAGTGGAATAAGTTCATATTTTTAATATATACAAATGATTTTAAACAGTAGTTTTGCCGTCCTTTACATTTATAGAGTTCACCTATAGTGCGGTAATCTCTTGTTGTGTGGACACCCGTCTCTATTTATACCTTGGGGCTCATGGGATCAATCTTAATTGGATAATTCTCAAATTATAAAGTCGACCTTTGGTTGTACTCAAAAGTTCATAACCGTTTAATAGACCCCTCCGGGCAGTTTTGCAGCTCCCCTTTTCCCTGTCTAGCACATATTGTTTAAGAAGTCGTTTTTGTCCAGTGTCTCAGATTGTGTACATATACAGATTTTTTTCAGGTTAAGCGTTAGAAGACCGTAGTAACCGCAAGCTGTGATGGCCTTTTTTTATATATATAAATTGCAATACTTAAAAACAATTGGTAGGTTTTTTTCAATCCTACCGTTTGATATCTTCTAACTGTTAGCCTTACTTATGAAAGGTCATGTAATAAGTAATATTTTTGGATTGAAAATAATAAATTTAGAGCCATTACACGTATTCAAAGGAAATTTTAAAGTTACATTTAACCTCCTTAAGTGCTCTTGAATAATTGTTTTTATATTTTAATCAAAACTTTCCTAATACTTTCTACTATAAAATATAAAAATGAATATTTTTTAGATCGATGTATTATTTAAGTGGAGTCATCGGTTCAAAGCGAGTGACTCATACTTGCATAGCCCAAAGAACAATTAAGCCGTCGAGTCCTGAAGTAGAGAAGCGCACATTATTTCCTTTTCTTTCAAGGGCAACCATGTGGCTGGCAGTAATTAAAAAGTAAACAACTTGCAAAAAAAGAATTTTTCAGGTAATAAACTTACAATTGAAAATTTTAATGTTAAAAATAAAATTATTATTGAGTTTTATAATAAAAATAAATACTTTATGGCATTTTGGTGAGTTGACTTTAACACAACGTCACTTGCTGCCTCACGTGATTGCAGATCTAACTTCTTAAATCGGCTCATCGCACTGTTAACGTTGCTTCCACTTTGCTCCTTTTTTTATATTATGAAAATTAATGCAACCGCTTATAGCTTTTATATATTCTTCCGCAATCCATCGTGAGCAAATAATTTACTATTCCATCCTAAAGATACTCTATACAGCCTACAAAAATTTTGATTGACTGTATAAATTAACATGGAGAGTGCCTTTGCTCCGCTATCGAGAGACTTTTCAAATTTCCACTCTCCGCCAGCACATTTATAAAGATTGGGTGCGCAGCTGTGGCCTGAGCACAGTTAAAAAAAAATTAATATTAAATCAAAGCTATAATTCCAACTTAAAATAAACATCTTTTCGTTCTTGCTAAAACGCAAAGCATCGCATAAAAATCCAATTATACATTTTACGAAGCACCAAAAAAAAGAACAAAAAGAGAAGTAAAAAAAAGAAGCCTTCAATATAAAAAAAGCAAACGGTTCTTAATAAATTTTAATAATAAAAACAACCTACAAATATTGTCTAAAAATGAAGGATACCTGCTGCAATTAGTAAATTTTCATTAGCAAACATACAGCAGCGGTAAGGAAGGCTGTGCTCGTGGACAGAAAGAATTTTACTCGTGTCACTGCTGTGCACAAAGCATACACAGCTAGAGTGCGCTTGAAGTGGAATTGCAAATTACTTATTAGCAATTAAATAAAAAATAAATTGCTGAAATAAAAAAAGGAATAACTTGTAGCAGTAACTAGAAGTAATAAAAAACTAATAACCGCCTATAAGGTAAATAAAAGAATTGCGCTGCAGGTTTAAAGATTACATTCACGTCATTATAAAAAAAAAATACAGTTTTATACAGAAAATTTTTATAAGATTGAGATCCCTTAATTAAAGTACTTACAAACCCACGCAAGGACTTCTCCAGCGGGCGAGAAGGCGACGTCGTGGACCCACCCGTCCACTTCGCTTTTCCAAGTGTGCAGGAGAGATCCAAACGTGCGAAGCTGGCTGGACTCCGCCCACGAGGTATCTGGGACAAAAAAATAAAAAGGAAAAGAGGATTCATAACGCTGAATATATATAAACAAAGAAGTTAAACAGGGGAGTAAATAATAAATAAATAAATAAAGTTTAATAAATTTCAAGAGGTTAAAAAAAAAGAATCAGCTTGTGCAGAAAACGTGTCGAAAACTTTTTGTATATTAATCGTTATAATATTCTCCTACAAAAAAATTAAATCTGAGAAAATTAGTTTAAGTATAAAGAAACTACAGGAAGTCTTAAAATATAGAAGAAAGCAACCGTAACACTAAGATAACAAATAACAGATCTGATCAGAAAACCTTCGGGTCGCTTGTCTACTCCTTTGATGGCTGCAGAAAATAAACGAACATGGAAATCCGAAGAACTACAATTACAAAAAACTTGCATTATTTTGCTTCGTAAAAAGTTTTATTGAACTAGAAAATATAGCCTTTTTACATATATTAGCAAATATAATAAAAATTTACGAATTTTAAAAGAGGAAAAAAAATCAATCCAACATGCACAAAACTCACCCGACAGCCAACAAGGTGGAATTTGGGTGCCAGTCAAGACAAGTGACGGTCGAGCGAATGCCAGATTTGATATTTTTAGCGACCCACCAATTATGTTCTTCTTGGAAGTAACAAATACTTACGATTCGTGCACCGCTTCCAACTGCGAACTAAACTAAAGTTAGTGAAATAATAATAAAAAGAAAAGTACATTAAACAAAAAAGGTTTTAAAATTAATGTCTGACGACTATTACGGCGGTCATTAAACCCCCCCCCCCCCTAACCTAACACGTCTTCCAGTGTGTAGAAGCTCTATAATTATTTTCAAGTTTTTACCAAAAAAATAACTAAAAAATACGGCAAAGAACCCGCCAAAAAAGTAATAAAATTGAAGCATTCCAAAAAAAAGCAAATAAAACCTTCTCTCCGCTGGGAGACCACCGGACACACGTGGCTGCCCGGTTAATGCGGAGAACCACAAGACCTGGCTTCCACTTCCCGTCACTTTCAAGCTTCCAAACGTACGCGTTGCGATCCTCCCCGCAAGTAGCAAGCAGATTCGACTGTGGCTCCTGAAGGATATTAAATTGCCATAAAATAACTTGTCTAAAAAACGTTTGAGGTTGCTAATAAAAAGGAAGTAAGCCATATACGAAGAACTTCCAGTCTAAATCTAACACGTTTTACAACCAGTAAAAGGGGCCCCTCAACACAGCACTAAAGTTGCTTACACAAAGTGTAACTCTCTTTTAATCTGTAAAATGGTCTCTACCCATTAGGAAGTTTCAACTAAAAGTTTATAATTTATAAAGTGGAAGAGTTTTCAAAGTGAGCAGTTATATAAAATGAATAAAAAAAACATGAGTCAGTAGTTCAACTTAAAATAGGGTATTGAGAAAACAAAAAAAATACTATTATAAGTATAAAATTTAGAGTAAGATAAAACAATATAAGTTCACTTTAATAAGAAATCAAGCCCTGGAGCTACACTAATGAAAGTAAGAGAGACACCGAATTAATAATAGTAAACTCAAAAGTTTAAATTCTGAAGAAAAAGATGCGCCTCTGTTCTATATGCTAATTTTGTAAAGCTTATAGCTACATAAAAAGCACCCAGTCAATGGACAAAACGCGTTGATCATGCTCTAGAAGGGAGTGAATTTTATCCCACGAAGAGCCTTGTTTCTGGTATATGTAAACTTCAGGAGTACTAAAAGAAACACAAATTTGTGTCCCTAAAGAATTTTAAAAAGTAATTAGACTAATAAAAGAGAAAAATAAAGAAACTAGCATAACCCCAGAAACGGATAAATAACTTTAACCTTAAAGAATTATAGTTACGCAAGTTAACCAAAAAATCGCAAAAAGTATATTACTAAAAAAAGAAAACGGTAAGAATAAGAAAAGGTATACTATCTCCATTCCAAGCAAAACAGGAAACTGGAATTGAACCAGACAAATTAATAACAGTTGGTGAAGCCATTGTTAGGGGAAAGGGTAAAAAGTTCAACTCAAAAAAAACCTTTTAGAAATATAGATAAAGATAATTATTTTCTGATGCACAAGAATTCATCAGAAACATGAACCGCTTAATAATAACAATTTGACACCGCGGACTCTGAGCAGTCTACGCAGTTTTTCGCACTGAAGGAGAGTAAACCCTCCACCTCTAATAGCCAAAGACTTTTAATTAGTAGTTCTACAAATATAGAAGTGGTAAGACCTAAATGCGCTTCAGTTGAAATTGGTGAATAAAAATAGGCCCCACTATTTCAAACCAAATCACTTTTTAAATTTTAAAAGGTAGGTTGTAGGGTCTAAACTATGTTTAATTCCTATACACAGATGTAAGGTGGAGGTTTAAAAAAATATAACATTTCATATTTTTTTTGCGAACTTCTTTTCCTACCCAATTACAACGATGACGAATTACACTACTCGAGGTACTGCATCTTTTTGAGTTGCAAAGATTTAGCAAAACTTTGTGTGATTTGTGAGTCTTGACCAAGTTGAGGGGGATAATTAAGCAGATTGAAACAGAGACGCAACAAACATGGAGCCAAGACGAAAAGTCATAGGTAAAAAGTTATGATAGCAAGGTTTAACTATAATTTAATATATATAATTTATATTTTGAGATGAATTGTATTCGTAGTATAAATAATAAAAATGCTACTGTATTGATTAAAACTAATTTTTAATGTTTTTACAAAATTTTGTAAGGTGTGTGTGTACCTCTCCTATCGCGTAGATCTTAGAATTAATTTATAGCGCCGTATAAAATAACAGTAATAGAATTAAAACCTGTTTATCATACTACCGCAACGCTCTCATTAAGATTAAAGCTGCCTTTAAAGTGGCGATTTATAGACATACAAATATTGGCCTCAGATTAAATCTCTGGATCTACTACTCCTATTTATGGTAAGTTTAATAACCCCTCATGAACTTTCATGGTCCAAATACATGTAGGTTATCTATCCTCTGATACTCATTAGTGTAATAACCACAGGGGTTTATCCGAGATACATTTACCCCATCCTCTAACTTTGGGCTTTATGATAGTACCTATAACTAAAAGAAGAAGAATTTAAATGAATAGCTTCAAATAATTTTATGTAATTTATTGAGCATCAAATTTAATATCAAATGACGAATCTATTAAGCGCTTTACAATTATATTATTAGAGGAGCGACGAACTAAATACAATGAAATAAAATAAAATATATAGAAGAAATCATTATATTTAATGTAAGAGTTAGCAATAATTATAAATGGAACTAAGATTTAAAAACAGATCTATGTATTTAAAATTAGAACAATCGTAAAATTAAACAAGAACGCCAGACCCGTAAAGATAACAGACTTTTTATTTATTAATGGTATTTCTTGTGCTCGAGCGGGTCAAGAAACAATTAATTAGATTAAAGCTTGATTAACGCAATTTCATGTACACATGACGGCTAGGTTACCCATCAAAGACCCGATAAAGAGAGTCGCTTCGGTGGGTATCGAACCCACCTGCTTGAGTTTAGGTGTCAATACTCTTAACCGCTGAGCTAAGACAACAACTGTCAACCTCGCTGTGAGGGTTTTTCTTTTATATATATATGGATATATCTTGTTACCTCTAGCCCTAACCCCTATAACAAAGACAACAAAGATTTAAAGTGCTCTATCTCATTGACTGTAACTGAGCTCTTGGGCCAGTAATCGACAGAAGCTGTTTAAGAATGTTGACTGTTTGTTGTCTATAAAACAAGCAATTGCTGGTTGTTGCGGCCGTTAGAAGTAGTATTTTCCGACCAAAAGAGAAGGGTTGAGACCTTCAGAATTACTTTTAATAAAGTAGGCTTTTGCTTCGTTGGTAAAAGTAGTTGATAGGCTGCTTTAAGTCCTCGCAGGTAAAGTTTGTAGCCACGATAATGGTGGCGTAGGCTTGATTGCACAACTGACAAGACCTTGCTCTTTTGCGCACTGCGCAGTCTAGTGGTCGCGCCCATCAGAGGGGCGCAGCGCAGGAATTACACTGTGCCCTAAGCCTGGCAGCGGTGGCACTGTCCAACGCGGTTCCTCTTTCGTAGCCCTCCACCTAAACTGTAAATGGAAAAACTTCTACAATTCTGACAGCTCCTGCCGATCTTAACACGGGAGTTTCAAAGCCCCTTGCGTGCACATCTCCCTCTAAGTTTAGGGGGTGGAGACCGCATTTAATTTTGCAGTTTACAATCGCTATAGGCTGTGTCCTCTAAAATTTGTTAGGTAAAATGTTCTGCGCTTCATTGAGCGTAAGAGCTGTGATGACGCGGTCTTTGTGCGCTGTTGCGAGTAAAATCGTTAATTTTTTTGATGCGTGTCTTTGGGCTTGGGAATCTCTCGGCGTTAGCTTGCAGAAGTTTACGGATAGCATCCCTTCTGTTTTTTTTTTCGCAGAGAACAACTTTCTATTTCGTCCCAGAGAAGGCGCAGCGACAAGCAGTTATTCGATATTGTCTGTGGTATTAGGGGTATTGATAAAAGGCGATAATTTATCCTCACAATACTAAAGAAATTAGGGGCACGTGCACTAGTAGAGTACACAGACTTAGAGGTGGCGGGGGATGATTTCTTGGCGGTTTTCCACCACATTAAATCGAATGACGAGAATCCAGCCTAAATAAACCACTACTCCCCGGTCCTTCAGAAGGGTCATTAAAATCCTAGGTGGGGATGCACTAGGGGGCGCCCCTCTTGGAAGATGGGAAATAAGATTAAGCAGTTTGAAACCTTAGTTCGCACTGACCGTAGTTATGCCGTATAACAATAAAATAAATGCGCAGTTGACCAAAATTCAAACAATAAAGCATTCCCCCCCGGTGGGACTGGAATGGCTCGAATTTCATTCTCAAAGCTTAATCTATTTAATTTTATAACTTTTTAGTTCAACGGAAGATAAGCCGCTTTACGGCAGAGCCTCACCTTCAAATTTTATTTCGAGATCATACAGTCGGTGAGGTAGAAGCGCACCAGGGTATTTTTCATATTGTGTAGGGAGAACTCGTGCGTTTAGTTGGTTTCGTGATCCCACAGTTTCAATAGCGATCACAACTGAACCGAAATGGATAGGTAATTCGGTAGTTTATTGTATGACCTCTTTTTTACACTGCATCGGATTGTTTAAAAAGCTGGTAGTTGAGTTTTCCAACATAAGCTATACTCCGCTTCTCACAGGGTACAGGATCTTACAAACGTTAAGCCGAAATTCCTTTGTTATTACTTTTCGATCTAAAAGGATTCCTTTGGACTCAAGGTGACCTCTAACCTACAAGGTGCTTATCTAATAGTAATCAAAAAAGTTATTGTCTGGATCCGTGTACAGTGTAAAGGTTAGTGGTGTAGTAAATAGAGGGATGGAGCCCGAACTTAGTTATCCAATGGAGAAGACAACAGACAAGGAACAGTTAAGATTGTAGGCCTCGGCTTCCCTTTTTTTAAACATATTTTGTATCAATTAATGCATAAACCGCTATTCAAGAGAACTAGACTTTTTTGGTGTATAATACCGCCCCCACAACGGTTTTGTGTAAAGCTTCACCGGCACCGGAACGGATGAAGACAGTGTCGACGTGACGTGCTTTATGAAAGTCATTTTCCAAGGCATCTAGTCATAATAGTGTGCATGACCACTATTGGCCCCGCCGGGCGCAGGACTTCAGTTGTCTACTTTTTGTTGTATCCCAAATATGAAGGTAATTTATCGTAAACTTGAAAAAAATCGAGCAGGAGAAATAGGAATTATACCTGAAAATTCAGAAGACTTTTGGCATGTGTACAATATTTTACAAATCGGTGATGTCCTGAGAGCATCTACCGTAAGGTAAGCTATAAACTGGTGATTATACTTTTAGGCTAAGTGCTTTAAAAAACTACCAACTCTTAAACAATTAATTATTTATTTAGGCGAGTTCAAAATGAATCTTCTACGGGTTCAGTTTCCAGTAAAACAGTGCGAGTATATCTAAGTTTGGAAGTTACCAACATATGGTAAACTGAATTATTACTACTCAATTCTCTATTGTCTTCATGATAAATACTGCCAAGGTTTGATTTTGAGTCTTGTTCACTTCGTGTGAGCGGGCGTAATGTTCTTGAGAATGAATATGTTAAACTGGGTATTTGTAAACACATAAAATTTTCTTTTTCTTTTTGTTTAAATATTTTAATAAAATAATATAGTATATTCGTTATTTTAGGAGGGCATCACACTTTTGATCTTGAGTTTAATAAAAAACTTTGCATTAGCAAATTAGAGTGGGATTCGTACGCTCTAAAGTAGAAATATTATTTCTGCAGGTCTTTATTTAATTTCTTATTTATAGACGGATTAACGAGGCATCTTCTCTTAAAAAATCAGCTGATGTTATAGCTGTGGTGATGCAAGAAGGTCATTTAGATTTATTTTTATTACTACTTTCAATTTTGTTATATAAAAATGGTTTAAAGTTATTAAATTTTTTTTTATTATTAAAAAATATACCCTTTTAATTTATTGAAACACTATTATATTTGTATATAATTCCTTTGGTTATAATATGAATTATATATTGTTTATACTTAAAAGTGAAGGTCTAGCATATCTATGCTACATTACCAACGACATGACTTTAATAAAATCTAAAATTGAACTGTCCATTCCTAGAAAACGGAGAAACGGCTGCAGCCAGCATGAAAAAGTGTCCATAGTTCTATTATTAATTATTTTGTAAATCTATTTAAGTAACAAATTGTATACTTAAATACTTTTACCATTTTTAGGTTTATATGCTTTTTTTTATTCCCGTACACTAATTTTAATTTTATAATTTTTTTATTTTATTGTGGTTTTTAATATATAATAGGGTGTTGTTTATGTTAAACGATTCTTAATATATATTTTTATTATCTATATTGAAAAGCGGTTTATGCTGTTTCTCGTTTTTTGTATAACACAAAGTTTAATAGTTATATATATAAAAACTTTGTAGCTTAGCGGCAGGGGTATAATTATAACGCTTGCCAATAAAATAGACCCTTGAGAAGTTTTATGAATTAATATTACAATCAATAATTAAAAATGCTGATTTTGAAGTAGTGAAATGCTTAATTCTGGCGAGTCCCGGATTTGTTAAGGAAAATTATTTTTGTTTATCTTTTCAATTTTATGTTTTATTGAATTATAAAAAACTATTTTTTATATATTTTTAACTTTTTCCTTAAAAATGTAACCACTTTATCTGCTTTTTAAAACATTATATATCCTATCTATAAATTCAACTAAGTTAAATTTTTATGTTAGCACCTTACAGCAACCCGAAAAGGGTAGGCTGGTATCATTATATATAAAAACTTTTATTAAGTTTTTTTGGTCTTTAATTTGTTTATTTGGTTTTTTAAATTAAAGCATTTTATAAACATTAGTGAGTCGATTCATACTTATTTCATGTTCTCTAAGAGTACTCTGTTCTACTGCTGTTTTATAGATAAAAGCACATAGCGGTCAGTCACATGTGCAAGAGAAGACACGAGGTTGTATGTGTTGCCAGTTAGTTTTTTGTAAGCACACAGCGTGCTTTATGGCTGTTGAAACTTCTCCGACACCTTTTCTTCAAAAACATTTGCAAACTGCCACAAAAAAATATATAAATCCAACTTTTGCTTAATCCCCTCGTTGAAATTTTAATATTTATATGATTTTGGCCTGCAGGATTGCTGCTTTGAGTATATTAAGGAGCAGGCTGTCAAAAGGGACATGAAGGAGATACTTCGTAACAAAGAAAAGTTTCTACTGGTTCATTCCTCTTCTGGTCATAAGGACGGTCTGCAATATAATTGTCTATTCTACTTTGCTTAACGATAATAGACTTGAGTAGAATCCGCAATTGATAAATAAGTTTTTATTTTTATTTCAAGCTCTACAGGAAGCTCTTCAGAGCCCTTCAGTTTCTCTAAAACTCGCAGATACAAAGGCGGCTAAAGAGGTAAAAATACTCGAAAGTTTCTACAAAACTTTGGACGCCGATCCGTCTCGGGCTTTTTATGGCTATAAGCACGTTTACCAGGTCCTACAATTATATTTATGGTTGAAATGTAGTGAAAGTAACTTATCATTTTCTATTAAGGCTAATAAAGAGTTGGCAGTAGAGTCCTTATTAATATGCGATGCGCTCTTCCGCTCGAGAAATCTAAAAATAAGAAAAAAATATGTCAAATTGGTTGAAGCCGTTAAAAAAAATGGTGGAGATGTCTTTTTATTTTCGAGCATGCACTTCACAGGAAACCGTTAAGTTTATTATTATATCACTTTATTACTTTTATAACTTTTTTCTAAAACTAAGTATACTTAACTGTGGTTATATACTTAATATTTTTATAAGTTCATTGTTTTCATTAAATGTTTTACCAAGTATACCATGTTCAGTGCGTCCTTTTTTATCTTTAAGATCTATCTATAAAAGTTTTAAATCTATAAAAAAGATTCGTACACTTTTTTGTTATAAACTTTATGAAATAATTTAGAATATTTTTAGACACGACGAGTATTAATTAAAAAATAATATTTGATTTCTTTGTGGTAAACGTAAATAATTTTTAAGGTCTGTATGTGGAAAGGCAGTTATAGATTTTTAGGCGCTGCAATTATTATATTGTTGAACTATTATGATATATCATGAAAGCTCACCACTTTTATACACTTATTATTTATGGGCGATTTGTAAATCAAGTGTGTTTATCGGAATTTTTTAAATGATAGGAGTCAATTAGTTTGTACTTGGTTTATTTTATTTACTTTCTTAGTACACTTTTCTTTCTTTTCTGTACATTATTTTATTTCGTATAATTTATAAAATTTTCAAGCATTGTCTGTTGAATTGTTGCTTATTTTTTATTATACTTTAAGGTTCATTGTTATCTATTATTTAGAATTTAGTGGTTGTATGCTTATAGATTTTTATATATGATTTTTCTTCAGAACTTAATCAGTTTACTGGAGTTGCTGCCATCCTTCGATTTCCTTTACCACATCTGGAAGATTATTTTTTTGACGAAAATGATTTGTTAGAATCGCTGGATAATCTTGAATTATCAGGTGAGGCTATCACAGCCAATAAATTATAAAAATAAATTTTACATTTTATATAAGTTATATCATTATCGGAATTTAGTTTGTGGGGTTAAATTCGCTTAAGGAAGGAGTTATTATAAAACTCAATAGCACATAATTTATACTTTTTAGAGGTTCTTTTTGTAATTAAAGTTACTAAAACCACTTAAAATTTTTGACCAATAGGGCCTTGCTATTAGATATCTCTTTGCTACTTGCCAAGTTTAGATCTTTTAAAAGATTTTGTTGTTGAGCGTTTTTTTTTATATTTCTAAAGATCTAAAAGGCAGAGCCTCTTTTGCCTTGCATAAGCACTCGCCGACAGTAAGTATAAAGTACTCTCACCACGCTTTTTACCACCTAATTATAAACGTTTAAAAAATTGCAAGCGAGATCATTTGGGTATCAGTGCTATATTGTGAACTATACAACGCAAAGATCAGATAAAAATCTGCATATAGAGTGAACTCTAAAATTTATTATGGCAGAACAAAAAAAGATGAGCATTGGTCTTTATAGAAATGCTTTCCCTTTCAGTAGAGATTTAAATTGAGTAGGCCGTCTATGCGGAATTAAAGCTGAATTAAGCGTGCTAAAAAAATGAGATGACTATCACTCCTTACAAAGATTAAATATTTCTTCAAAAAAAAATTAAATACTTTTACTAAATGCTTTTTTAAGTTTTTGTTATTATTTTATTTTATAATTTCAACGGTAAACTTTAGTAGGCAGTTCACACCACTAAAAAAATGAAACGCTTCGTTATTAAGACGCACTAATAAGTGCTCGTTCTGTAAGTTGTGAATTAATCATGTTTCTACTTAAAAATTAATTAAACATTGTATATATGCTTAATTATTTTAATAAAAAAAATAAAACATAACTATTATTCTTAAAAATAAATTAATAAAGTATTATAGAAAATAAAAAAAGATACTAACTAAAATTCCGCTGTAAGTTAACCGCTCTGGATATTTTCGGTGAATGAAACGACTGTCAAAAAAAATAACTAAAAAAATCTACATTACAAAAAGAACGTATGTAAAATCTGAAAAACTAACTAAAAATGCTTAACAAATAAATCAGCAAGACCAGGAAAAGTCCAAAAAAAAACAATTAATAAAAATGAATCTCTTAATAAAGTTAAAAAAGGGTAGTAAAAAATTTAACTGCTTTTATTTTTTATGAGCACTTTTTAATAATCGTTTCGCAATGTCCCTTTCTTCTATTAAAAAAGCGCGAACGATGCGCTGACGAACACATTTGCCACAGCGGGAGCCTCCGTAGGCGCGAGTCACTGTTTTGTGTCTTCTACTAAGTCTCTTCAAGGCATATGGACGTGATGCTTTCAAACCGGCAAGTTGAGATCCACAATCACCACACTTTGGTACGGAGCCTTTCTTTTTTAAATAGCTAATAACTAATCTTGCCCCAGGAGTCTTTACACTAACAAAAAAAGACAAGTTTATATGATGCACTAAAGTTAAAAAGCGTAAAATAAAATGATAATAGAAATTTGTTATAATTGAATAAAAATGTATATAAAAGAGATAGAATGGAAAAAATATATAAGTTAAATACATTTTAAATTTATTTGATCTTGTATTGTAAGACAAGCGCCTTCTGTAAGTCACGCGTTGTACCATGTTCTAGTATAAAATTAATAAAAAATAATCGTAAATTTTAGTTACTAAATTGAGCATTATAATAAAATAATTTTATATATCTATATTATTACAGAAATGTTGTTCAAAAAATCAATTTAAAAATAAGCGTAAACTAGGCAGATCACCCCAAAAAGTAAAATTCCCAGAAACAGGGAAGCTGTACGCTTTCTCCTTAAAAATTCAGTAAACGGTGAACCCCACGTGTATACCCCTTTAAGTAATTGCCATTGATAGCGTAGTAGCTTTATTTATTAAACCGAATATGATTCCTTCTGGTGGTAAAGGGAATTTTTAACATAATTTAATCACTTTAAAACTATATAAGGATGAACGTCTTTTTCAGTGTAGAAATTTGAGTATCAGAAGCAATCGCTTGCTTTTTTTTAAGTTCTAAAAGGTGTACTTAATGGTCCAAATTCGTTTTTTGAACGACAGTTTTATACCTTTACAACTGTTTTAAGAGCACTCACGAACGTGCTCCAATGGCAAGACTGATAGAGGCTTAAGATTCTACTCTTATTAGTTGACTGTGAAAAACCTGTTCACTTATAAAACTTAAAAATAAACTTGCTACAACAGTTGCTGTAACGTGGCCGTTAACATAAGTATACTAATAAGGACTCACTTTGGTTACACCAACAAAACTACTCGGTTAAAATTTCTTTGAAAATAAAAAACTCTTAAAGCTGTAGCTGCGTATAAACAAGTAGGTTTTTGACAATTTACTATACCTTACTCTTTGTAACTTTTTGACGTGCGCAACTCGAAGGGGTAAAAGAATTGTTATTATGTCCCGACGTTAAAAAGAGTAAAAGGCAAAGGTAAGAAATGAAACTGCAAAAACTTGCAAAAATAACTGACTAACAGAAATCATTATGATAATTCAAGTTTACCATACTGAAGCGGAGTTAGCATGAAAAAGATACCAATTTTTTTTAGTGAAAAATTGCTGTTCACGTTGACTTAATATAATAAAGGTAAATACCTATAACCATAAAGTTTTTGCAAGATGACTACCAAAGGTTAGCAGTTAGATAGGGCAAAATTGACTTTTAGATCTGAACGAGTTTTAAACACAAATTTAAAGCCGACTTAGCAGTCATATTATAATAACTACTTTTATTGTTAAATTACTTTTTATAAGTTAGTCCGCCTTTTTGAATCTATTTTGATATTCTACTTAAAAGTAAATTTGCTTTACTAACTTTTGCCCCAACTTACTATTATAAAGGAATAAGACCATCTGCCGCTGAAAGATTGATAGAGACAACGTTATGAATTAGCCTTCATGCCCACTATTTTAGAAGCGAAATTACATAAGATTTGTACATCAGACAACTTTGACACGACCTAAAATCCATCTAACCGAAAACGTCAGTTTATTTCTAATAAATATTAACAAACGAAATTTTTATTTTTACACCTTCCATAAAGCTTCCTTTGTTGGAGCAATGCAGTTTTACTTTTCCTTATGCCTCAACCTACCTTTTCGCAAAATTTAGTTTCCGAGTGGAACAAAAAATACATAATTTAAGAAAGCTTTATTTTTTTTAACATTAATTCACCTTCAGGCACTTTTAGAATCCAAAACGAAAGTTACTGGGCTAAAAAATTTACAATCCGTTAAAAACAATAAAATCTACATAGACAGTTAATATTAAAAAAACGTTATCAAGTATAAAAGTTTTATTATAGAAGTTATCAGCGCCTTAAGTACAAAGGTTAAAGGTTCATATAAATAAAAAATAATTATAGAAATAAAAACAAATATAACAAAGATCAAAAACTATACAATTTTTTTTTGATTTTATTTACTCAAAAGAAATAAAGAAAGACTACTTAATAAACTCATTGTAATTAACTATTATAAATATTAATAAACAATAGTAATTAACTAAAAACCTTTAAATAATTTACGTATAAGTAAAGGTAGATTAAATTTAAATAATTTATAGCACAAAAGTTAATAAGCACCCGTCATTTTCTATATTCACCGTCATTTCAGCACCAAAAACGCCATCTATATATGAGGAATTATATTAATAAAGTACTATTTACATACTTAAAGTACCCTTAATCCTTGAAGAATTATAATTATTTCTCAAGTTTTCAATAAAACTTTCGTAAAGAACTTTCGAGCTAAAGTGGTAAAGAAAAAGTTCAAGTTTTAATAATTATACCAATAAAAGTAAGAATGATGCATTGCAAAAAACTATAAGCACGTCATAAAGTATAATAGTACAAAGGACTTTTCATAGCTTTTCTATAGTCAGGTTTGCTTTTCTTTAGGTCTGCACATAAAGTAAATTGACTAACACAGAGTATCTAATATGAAAACTATTAATATTGTTACCTTGAATAATTTGCAAAGAATAAAAGTGTCGATAATATTTTTATATATAAAAAAGAATTTAGAGTAAACAATAAAATACTATAGCAAAATTTGAAGAGTAGATTATAAAAGCAGATCTCAGGAAAAAAGATCATTTAATGTAGTCTAAAAGCGGGTATGAAGGAGGTTCTATAACAATTCCTTCAAATTAAGAATAAATTTTTGCTTCGAGTACTAAGCTGGTAAAATTACTTGGGAAATTTGCTTTTTTTTTTAAGTAAAAATATGGCGTACAGTAAGTCTATTAACGTTTTAACAAATCTCTTAAGGAAGTCAAAAAACACCTACAAAGATAAAAAAAAATTGATTTGACTAGTGCTTATAATTGTATAGTTCAGTAACGTTATTACAATAACTAATTTGCGAAGCGTGCAACAAATGCGTGACAACATGTTTTTATATTAATAAATAAAACTTAAAAAATTTATTAAAAAAGGTTAATGGTTGCATTCTTAAAAAAGATAATTCAGTAAACAGTCAAGGCCTTCCAATACAGCCAAATAATGTGGCTGTTATTTGAAGATAGAAGATCGGGGCTTTTAATTGCTTAAGATTACACACGATTCCTAATATTATAATTATTTCTTCTAATTCAATAAGTAGTATTTTCAACCGTACCAAATTTATGCAAAGTTTGTTATAGTATATAATAATTATTATAAAATACTAAGGCATAAACAACTACAAACCTCCCTTTAGTATTTAATAT